ACTTCCCACAAATGAGCGATGATTGACCACGTCCTTGAAGCAAGGCCTCAACGCACGCAGCCGGTGTTCGAGAGGAGGACCGACGTCTTCCAAACGAGAGCCCACCCCTCCCCTCTTCTTCCTGTTTCCACCTTTTATTGCTGAGTGTGACATCACATGGTATGGAATATCCCTTTGATTGGTTTAGGCCAGCTGCCCTAGTGATGTTTCTCTCCTCACCTTTTGCCCACCCCCTAAGAGGGTTAGAGAAAGGCCTAATACTGTGCCACTGCTGCTCAGCAGCAGACACAACACTGGTGTGATAACACTGCTGTTCCAGCTACAACTGCAGAGTACGGCACTGTATGGGCTGCTGCTGGGAAAGTTAACATTCCAGCCAGACCCAATACAGGTTAAAAAAAAAAAAAAAAGAAAAAAAAAAGCATGCTTTTGCCTTGATTATGCATCTTGAAACAAAGCTTTGCCCTAGCTCCAACAGTCGGCCCCTCAGATGGGTGGTAAGACCAGGCCTATATAAAGTATCCTCAGATAAACACAGATTTCCCAGAAAACGAGTTAGCGATGAGCAGGATTACATGGTGTGCAGTGCTCCTGAGTGCTGGGTTAAGCCAGGTTTTGAATGTCCCCCACACTGGTGCTGCTGTTCCTGTCCCTGGGGGATTTTCACGAAGCTCAGGAGGGGAAAGAGGCTGTGAGCAGATCCTTGTATTATGCTCTGTTGCTTAGAGGATGAGCTTAAACTGAAGACTAATAGCATGAGCTGGAACAGTCAGAGAAACCAAGCTGCTTCTCATGGGTCTCCAGTGATGCCTCATGTTTGCAAAACAGCACTTCAGGCCCTGGCAAGCAAAGCTGGGTTTTGCTGTGCTATCAGAGCAGCAGCCCCCCAAACAGAGACCTCGTCCCATTGCACTTGTCCAGCGCAGCCACCTCCATCCTCACACCCTCCAGCTGCTCACCTAGTACCGGTGACCGCCAGCCCGGTGTCCTGCTCCCCTTCCCTCACCTGAACAAACCTGGCAGGGCTCTGCCAGCTTACCCCTTGCTCCAGGGGCACCACCAGCACCATCCAACCCAGCTCCCCCTCACTGCCATGTCGGTGCCTGGCCCTGCCTGATGCCTGGCCCCACACAAAGTGCTTCCATCCCGCACTGCAGCCCCTCGCCTCCACCCTTCCTGTCCTAACCACTGTGCTCTTCACCAACCTGATGGGAACAGGGGGGCCATTTGTGAAGACAGCGTTTTGGAGTCTTCCTCTTCAAGGCAGGCCTGCCATGCTGCTGCTCCTGTGGCCCAGCTGCAGTTACTTGTCTGGCTCCAAGAGGGAGGAAAGTGCTCCACGGTGAGCTGCCTGCCCACCCGCAGAAACCTGGAGCACAGGCTTTGGTGATGCTTTCCCTCTAGCTCATTTCAGTCATCCTGAAAGCCCTATGATGTGACAGCACAACTTTTAATTAAAACCACAGGGCAAGAGCAGGAGAGGTGGTAAGGGTGAGAAGGGGTGGCTCTTCACTCATTAAATCGCCTCTATTGCTCCTACAGACATCCAACTGGTGCCCCACATCTCGTTACCTACAGGCCCTGTTCACTGCTCACAGCGACCTGGAAGCAGAAACTCAAGTCTCAGGCATGCCCACGCAGCCTGGCCTCCTCAGCCAAACTTTCAAATTTCCACACTTCACCAGGCTTTGGGAATAAAAGAAAAATCTGTTCCTGTGTCACCTGCATTTCCATCAGGGAGCAAGAGGCCTGGGGCAAGGCAGCCCTGCAGAACAGTGACTGAGAGGCCAAAGGCTACTCGAAGAGCTCTGTAATGAACCGTTTCTTCACACAAAATGTGGCTGCACTGCAACACCCCACCGACAGATGCCATCACATCTTGGTGCATGGTAGGAAGCTGCACACATGGTGTTATGTTAAGCATCATTGCCAGTTAATTTGGCCCAGAGCAGTGTTTGTTTTTCTCCTTTCTCTCCATAATAAAAAGATCTATAAAACCAAAAGTTGATTAATCTTCACCTTCCCTGTTAAAGAAAACCTGGTCTATGTCTAACCATTATCGCTTCACAGCCACCTCACAAAAACACTTGGGGTCAAAACCCTAGTGTCAGTATGAGGGCAGCTTGCAGGACTGCATGAGGGGCATCCCTGTCTCCGCTCTGCTAACCGTGAAGGGCACCTGTATCCCTTGGGGAAGGGCAGAAGCCCCAGTCTGGATGCCAAGGAAGATGCAGCAATACCAGACCCTCTCTCTCCATTTCCTCACACAACACAGCTATGAGGATCATTTTGGAAGCCTGCTGTGTTGTGCTCTCTGCCTCCCTTTGTGTCATGTTCCCTTTGCATCCCCCTTCACAGCAGCAGCAAGCACGAGCAGTTTGTCTCCATGTTTATTGCCTGCACAGCACCCCATGCCCTGCCAGAGCTATCTTTGCTCGTTTAGTGGGATGCCAGATCTCATGTGGTAGGAGAACCATGCCAAACACCATCAATTCTGGTTAATTTTTTTTCAAGCAGTGCTGCTTCATTTTTTCCATGCTGTTGTTTATGTTAGCAAGTAGCTCCCTGTAAATACCAGAACAGCCACACTTTATCTCCTTCTAAATGCATTCCTGCAAGCCCTCCTTTGCCACAATAGCTGCCAAAATGTCACAGGAATTCAACTGGCCTTGTGCCAACTAGCTCAGCCAAACTTTGTCTCCCTGTTCTACCCCCTTGCCCATCTGACCTACATGTCATTCTTCTGCCAGGCTGAAGCCTATAGGGCCAGGCTCAGATCAATGTTTCTTTTCCACATTTTTGTAGCTCTTGTAAGAACAGAGCAGATCAGGATCAGGGATCTCAGAGATATTAGAGAGATAGCAATTCACACAGCTCACGATCTGGCCCAACCTTATAGCTTAAGAAATTCCTTTCAGCTGGTACTGGAGAACTTTTAAATCATTGCTTGTCATCAGTTACATGTAGGACTATGGCAAACAGCCATTACTCGCATCAGCTTTGCCTTCTCTCCAGGTCAGGTCACAAGGAGAAGGGTCTTCAGACTTGAAATTGGCTTTCCAGGATGTGGTACATGGCCAAACCCTGTCACTGCTTACATTTTGGAAGTCTACGTGGATTCTTTGCTTGCTGTTGTTTCAAAGCTGATATGCACATGCATACTCCATCTGAAGACAATAACTGTAATGAAACAAAGCCCCACAAGGGGCCTAGCCCACTGTACTTTGCACTCCTTGATCCCAGAAAACCAAGAAGCACCATAGTTGGTAGGTGACCTGCTGACATTCAGAGAACAGAACCTCAGTAAGTACCTTTTATAAGAAATTTGCAGGTGCCCCACAGCATGAGGAGGTACCACCTCAAAATTGTTTTCTCTTTGCTCCCACAGAGAAGGCTGCATTATTCTTCCCAGGAGTCTTCTGCACCACAAAAATCACAGTTGTATAAAATTCCTCATTATGCCTGCTTAATTAGGCAGAGGCATTGGTAAACTTACCAGAACAGTATACATAGTCTCAGACTTTGATTGCAAACCCTTTCAAATCAGAAAGCCTCTCAAGCCCTGCCTACACTGCGGATGAAGCAAGATACAGAAATGCTGTTATCTGCTCTGAAACAGAACATAATTCTTTCCACTTTCCTTTTGACTGTGGATTTTCTACAGTTCTCCATTGCCCCTTCTGAGCTGTTTTGGGGTCAAACAGCTGCAAGTGAGCATTGGAGAAGTGCTCAGATCTCAGCCAGCCAGAGCATGCAGCTCCCTCCTTCCCTCCCTTCCAGCCTGCACACTAGCCCCAGCCTAGTCTCCTTTGGCAGAGAAATCCAGTGCTAAGGGAGCATTAATTATATATTGTGAAAATCAGCCAAACAACCTGGAATTATGCTCTGGTGCGCTGATGTTGATTGCTATGTCTGTACTCATCCTCCAGCACTGGACCTCAGTTGCCTACTGCCATGTTGTTAGGGGACTTCCCCTACTCCCATGTAACTCCCAGGCAGGGTTGGCCAGGGACTATTCCTAATAAAGAATCTGGATATGACAACCCTTTGGAGGGTGGCACAGTTTAATACTAACGTGCACACCCTCATGTGGTCAGCAGGGCTCAGATGTATTTCATTTAGATTAAGTTTGCAACAAAACTGCCATAACACACAATATACAGAAGGACCATGTGTTATGTGTCTCCCATCAAATCCCGGCTTTCACTGGATTAAAGTGCTTCATTTTGCATCCCCAGCTGGGCAATACTCCCCTTCCTTTTGTCAGTCCTTTGATGCCATATGCAGCCACGGGGAGTCCCACACGGAGGATTTTTGCCACAGTAATGAAAATGATGACCAGAGCCACTAAGTGGCTGGAGTCATTGTCACAGCTCAGAACACCCTCCATTTAAATGAAGTTCAAACAGGTTTTGATTCCAATGCATCATCTTATTTATAACTCCATGTTTCAGGTTCAGAATACAAAACTTTCAGATTCTAGAGTGGAGGGAAAAAAGGGAGGCAGGAAAGGTCTGGAACCACCAGATTTTTGATACAGACGAAATTATATCCTCACTGCATTAACTGCATACTAAAACAACCAGCATTGAAGTATTCAACTATTTGAGGTGGCATGAGATTAAGAAAATTTCACCAAGATGTTGCAGTTTCATACATCTGAGAATCACTGCCCCAGCCTCTCTTCAGATTCAGCATGTCTGCATTGTTCAGAATATATATATATACACACATATATATATGTATATATATATACACACACACACACATATATATATATTTAACCCCCACAACAGTAAAAGACAGAAAGTTTAATGGATTGAAAGTTATCCTTGCCACATGTCCTTATTATAAAGGACATCTTGAAACTTCAAGCAAAACAAAGTTGACAACTCTTTTGGCAAGAAGGGACTTACTGCACGCTCCAGACAGCAGGAAAATAACTGTTAGTGGAAGGAAAAAAAGGAGGGGTGGGGGGAAGAGAAGTAAATTAGACTCACTTCAGGAGAGATTTGAATAGTTTATTTTGCCCAATCAGAGCCCTTCAGCATAATGACACATTCATATACACATATATGAACATTTTTTTTCTGAAACATTAATGTATAATACATTTTAAATTTAAAATACCAGCTGCACAGGTATTTTTATTTACAAAAATATTCCATACTTATTTTTTTTTTTAACTTTGTTATGATGACATAGTTCAGTTCAAGTACATGTAAGTAAAATAACTCTATGCAATCTAACATAGTTGTTTGTAACAGTACAGTTTGCAGTTCATATGAAACTATATTTGTAGACAGATGGATTTGCAACCCTACCTAAAATGCATATTCCAGTAATCACCCTCAGAAGAGCTAGTGGGGCTCAGCAAGACTTAACTGAAAATAAGTTGCAATGAACAAAAAGAAAAAACACACATGTACACACTAAGTTATACATAAACGAGAACTGCTACACATCAAGCATGCTTACCCACAAGTGGGCAATGTTAGAAAAATTTACTGATTTCCCCCCCGGCCCATGGTGCTGGTACAATGAAACAGTAGCATAACTAGAAAGCAGCATGTTTTCCTAGTTCTAACCACTACAGATAGCAGAGCTCAGGTCTAAAATAACATATTACTGCTTATTTACAGTTCTTTTTTAAAAGGGAATATTTAAAACATGTTCCCACCCCACTGTCTTTGCATCACTGAATAGTAGTAGTAAACCACATACAACTCCTTACATGTCTTCAACTGAAACAGCTTAACTTCTAGTTATTATTTGCCTGTAATATGTAACTTAGGTACTAATAAAAACAAATGCAAGTGTCAAAGAAACCTACGGCTGTATGACAAACATTTTGAGGTGCTTTCCATGAAAAACTAAAAGGAATGCCAATTGACAGCTTTCATTTGACTGTTCTATGTTTTTATCTTGTTTCTTCTTTACCAACACCCACATCTTTTAGCCTGAACTTTATAAAAAAAATAAGAGAACCCAGAAACACAGTATACTCATCTGGCTTGGAACAGGAATAAAATAGACAACAGCACATTTTTATAACATACATAGAGAAAGAAACTGGCCCAGCTTAAATTAGCTTTTCAATGAAAACTGAAATAAAACCAGTACACCTGATTCTCCTACACCACGCATTTGTTGATTCTCTTCCTCCCCTCAAACATCACTCATTTCTGTCTACAAAGTGAAGATTTCATTGTAGTAGCACAGTTATCAACATCTACCCAGAAAGAATTACATCCAAGAAATATGCCAGAAAGAAGAAGAGTTCCACTGACAAGTTACCTTGCAACTTGTAGAGGGAGGCAAGTCCTTGCACACTTTCCCCACCACATGCAGAACTTCAGCCACTATCAGTATCCACCAGTTATGTGAAACCATGATGAGAAAGGGGAGGAGGGTACTTCTTCAGTCACAGGCTATAAGTTTTTCGACACACATTTGGTATACAAAAAAATGGTTTACATGTAAAGAGCTGATGTATAATGAAGACTTGTACATTAGTCAAAGAAAATCTTTATTGGACAAACCTCATTTCAATTTTCGGGAATTTCAAGAGTCCAAGGAATATAGCTGAAAATTCTTTTATATGAGTACTTAAAAAAAATCATAGAAAGCAAGTCAGCCACTGACTGCAGCTATTGAGAGAATTTCTACGTTATGTTTGTTTTCTGAATGCGTTATCTTCCCTCTTCATACTTAGGGAATTTTTTTTTAAAGACTGTTCAAAATGGGAGGTAAAAGTAAGAATAATTATTTTCTGCAAAGCAAAATGGGCTGTTTGTTTTCATTGCTTAGTAATTGTATCATCTCGATATGAGATATGAATGTATTCATAAGCTTAAAACAACTTCTTCTATGGATAATATACATACTTTAAGTACTTTGACTTAAAAATTGAACGTAAGTCTTTAAAATTAAAGGTAGAAGTGTACATATAAAAATTACTTAAAATTAAAAGTATATTCTTAAGCTGTATGTATAAATATAACAGAGTTTATTGTATTATCTAGTAACAAATCTGAAAGTGTTGCAGTAATTTATAAACTGAATGCTGACACAGGATAAGTGCCTTTCATTAGATTCTACATTGTATATACTTGTATATACATATTTTGCTAAGAAAACACACATTCTGAATTATAGTCACATAATTAGCAAATGCGCCCCAAAGTAACCTGCTCTAAACTCTTCACTGAATGTGTGTGCTTATATACAAATAATGAACCTGAACTGCACAAATGTCCAAACAAAATTAAGGAATAAAGTATCATGATTGAATTAAAGTGCAGGAAAAATTCAAGTTTAAAAGTTCAGGTAGGATCAGTGCTATTAATTAAGGAAAAAAAAAAGGAAAGGAAACAAAAGGAAAAAAAGGAAAAGAACTTGCTTCCAAAAATCCTCCTTTGGATGTAGCTTTCTAACATCACCTGCCGTGTAAGTACCACCTCAGGCAAAAATCTTTGTATAAAGACAGACAAAGAACACAGCTATATATTACTATATTTTATAACTTTTTTTGCCAAAGAACAAATCACTGGAGATGCCTGTGGTGTAACACTTTCAGACTTATTTGGAATACACGCATATTTACACATATCAACATTCAGAAGTTACAATTTGGCAGGACTAAGGTGAAGAAAAGCTTCTTCAGTTTACAGTTCCTAATGAGACACACTACATATAAACAGATAGGTAGCAGCAGTTTCTTACACTTCCATCAAAAAAATAAAAAAGTAATAGCTCAATTGTATTTTATAATTTTTCAAGACACTCTAAAAAAGTTTCACACAACTAAAATGCTAGCAAAAAAAAAAAAAAAAACAACAAAAAAACCACAGGGGTGTTTCCCCCCGGAAATTTCAATGTAGTTTGCTGTACAAAAGGTGCACCACAAATAGCAGAAGATACATGTATATGATCAACTTCCTTCCACAGAGAAGGAATAAGGAACATCTTACACTGAGATTGTACATAGCCCCTGTTATTGACCAAGAACCATTTTTCATATTCATCCTCTGAGCAATCATTCCATTGGTTTTCAAATCTAGAAACATGCTCTGAACATGTGCAACAAAAGAATCAACTATGATACATTCTATAATACCAAATAAACCACTGCTCTACTTATACTGGGCATGTGGTCTCTCATTGCCTCATTTTTTGCTTGCTGGTGGTCATCAAATGTTTCCCAATGGGAAAAAAGTTTAATATGCTTTTCTTTCAAGCCAAGGTCATCTTCCATTGAACTGATACCACAATTTGCTGAAGAGTATTTTTGCCATCCTCTCTCCCAGAGACTAACCAGACTAATTTTCCAGGATGATTCTGTTGTTCTGAAATACAGTTCATCTTCAACAAGTTACATAATATTATTTATGAATGTGAGAAAAGGACCGGCACAAATATCAGGTAGGGTGTTATATTTTTGTAAATGGTATGACCAGAGTTTATCTAGTTCTCTTCTACCTGGACTTTAAACAAAATGGTATCAATTTAAATATGCATTAGTTAGACACTAAAAAAATAGATTAATAGGCAGAGACAAAATGTGTGGAAAGCTGAGTTAACGTTGCCTCAATAGATATGGTACAGAGACATCAAGAAAACAGTGCCACATGTTCAAATTGTGATGTTCATATAGCTGACACAGCATGGTATGCCTTCATACTGGCAACAAAAAATTACTTGTCTTTAAATGTAACTATAAATACAATCAGAAAACTTATCGATTTGTGCTACAAATCCCAAGCACATTTACTGGGACGAGTGACAAATTAAAAAAAAAGAATTAAGAACCATCACTAACTTTAGTATTTGGCATCTTTTTATATGTATTGTAAGGTTCACATATCTATGTACCTGTAACATCACTTCACAATACAGATACAACCCAGGTTTTTGCTTCAGAACATTTGGAAAGCGTGTGAAAAAAAACACACAGAATGCAGTGCTTGGACAAGCAGACCCAAGTAATTAATTTCTGACAATATTGCAAGACATCACCTATCAGCTTCTAAGTATTCCCTTTTATAAAGCAAAACCAGACAGTAACTATTCCTGCCTTTTTGAGGAAAACAAAGGCCAAATTCATTTTTGAAATGCAAACATTTATTTTAAAAGACCTGTGGTCATCCTCACTATTACAGCTTTAGCACAGCAGCCAGTAGCAAGTAAGGTCAGCCTTATTTACCTTACCCAACTTGAATATCATTTCACCAAGTTTTAGTGGACACTTAACATTGCCCACGATATTGAAAACACTGCTTTAGAGACTAAATCTGAACTTTAGACAAGCTGCCTTTAATACTTCTTGGGGCTGAGATAGGTACTTGTAAAATAGCTCTACTAGCAGGGTTTAAAAATTTGCTGAACAATACCCTGACAATTATTAAATATTAGATGCTTGCCATTATTCATGCATCAGCACCTCCATGGAGTGTAAAACTGTTTGAAAACCTGAGTACGAGATTATCTGATTTCATAGTAAAGGACTAAAGGGGCATCTAGAACGTAAGTTTTAAGTGAAACTATCTCAGCTATTTTAATTAGTGGCTGTAAAGATACATTCTGTTAAACTTTTATAAAAATTCACAGCATGAATGGAACCCACAGCCAGTTCTAAATGTTATATAAACTAAACCAGTAACTGTTTTTGGCAAAAAGGAATATTTAACTAAACAGAAGTTGAAGTATTCTTACCACAATGAAGATGTTACCACATTTCACATTGCACATCCATAACACAAATGAAAACTCCCAGCATGACACATTCCAGTCATATTATTCACTTGACTTCTTTTAATGCAAAAATTGTGTATTCTCTTGTTTTGCACTTCACAGAATATGATGTGAATACAAGAATACTAGATCGGGGTCCAAGAAAAGACTATGCACAGGTCAACTATGTATACAATTTTCAACATGAAATTTTCCAAGCTTCCAGCTTTTCTGACGAAAGAAATGACAGCAAGCTTCCACTCTTCTTCAACAATAATGGTAAATATAGTGAGTCCTAGAGAGGGTAAGTGTAAGTCAGCTACTGTCCAGCAAGACAAACAACTTTATTCCAGCTCTTGGACCCCTGATTTATTGCCTCTCCTCACAGGAGGGTATAACACTGGCAGCAAGTACAACAGCACAAAAACTTTTGGCATATGAAATACTAACACAGGATTGACCCTGCATTGCCCCTGCCCATCACACTACTTCCTTTATCCCTTTTCCACATATTCCAGTTACCTGCTCTGTTCTCCAACTCTCAGCTAACCAACAGCTAAGAAACACTCCAGGTTTCTTTCTTTTTATGTTTCTATAAAGCTCCTCAGTTAAAGCCACGACTGAGGTAAAACAGTGTGTGATTTGTGCTAGGAAACAACAGTATCCAATGTTGAATACTTTTTTAAATTTCAATGTTCCTGCCAAAATTAATGAAAAACAAGATTTTTTCTCATCAGGACAAAATTAAACAGGTGTAATTGATGAGCATCATCAGAATTGGTACCACTTCTTGTCTTTGTACTTCAACATCATCTAAAAAACAAAGAAACAATTTTTAATTAATGTTTCTATAATGTACCAAAGAGTGCTATAACACAAACAAAGCATCATAGTTGAACAGTGGGGGTTTGGCATGATGAATTTTCTAATGGTGACATCATTGCTGATTTTCTGGTCTCTGATAGAAAAAGACAATTTTGGAGAATGGGAAGGTTGCACAGAAGATTGGGGGATGAAAGGAGATCTGCAGAAACACTCAAGAGAACAGCTATCCTTCGTAGTGACTGAGGAAAAAATGAACTTGGAGTCACAGACTGTTGGATATTTAAGAACCACAGGAATCTCACACAGAGCATTACTTATCTAATTCAGTGACAAATTCTTTAAGTAATGGGAAATGAACAGGCCTTTTTGAAGCCTATATACCAGTCAGACAGATGGCATACCCTAGATCAATGTGCCAAAAAACAAAAAGGTGCTTACCTTAATATTTAACTATTAGGAGTAATGATTACAAGATAGAAATGAAGTCCTTTATAAATGACATTGCATTCCCTTTAGAACTCTCTAGTATGTCTTCAAAGCAGAAGTCAGTTTCTTGCAAAGATTACATGTATTCAATAGACAACTAATTTAATTCTCTAAGTTTAACATGTAATAAACTCACCTCATGAGCATGTTTAGAGAAAGAATCGGCACTGTAAAGCATAGCTGCAGTTTTTTCTTCCAGTTCTCCTAGTTTCTGTCCTCGTTCATCTAGTGCCAACCGGGCTCGTGCTAGTTCACCAACTACACCAGATGCTGCTCCTTTGACACCTTCAATACCCCCAGGCCCTGGAATATGCTGGGCAAGACTTCTTGATGCCTTTCCAGAAGCTGATTCTCCAACTGAAGGCATTTGCAAAGCAGCAAAAAAAAAAAAAAAAAAAAAAGAATATTAAGATTTCTTATCATTATGACATAAATATCAATGTAACTGCTTTATAAAGAGTTTTTTTGTTTTTTTGTTTGGTTGGTTGGTTTTTTGTTTTTTTTGTTTTTTTTTAACATGGACAGCAAACAACCGTAAGCATGCCTATGAGCAATACTCACTACTCTGTTACTATTTAATCAAATTGAGATTTTAAAAACATATTTCAGAGTTTCCAGGCAATTTATAAAATTTTAACCTCGTTACAGTTCAAGCATGAAATTAAAACCCACAACAGTGTTGACATCACCGTCATTAACAGAATTATGCAGTTTTTAAACAATACAGCTTGCTTCACAAGAAGGGTGTTGGAAGTTCAGCAAAGCAGAAGAACTCCAGTAATAGGAGCTGCGGTCAATACTCGAAGTGCTTTGCTGATACAGCCTACCAGCATAAATTTCTTACAGTGGGAGTTCAGTTTTAGATTCAGACACCTAAAGACTAGGTATCAGTGATCCCATTAGTGTAAGCAAACACGTTTAAAAGAAAAGTAACATACATCTTGGAAAGACAGTGCAGTTGTATGAACAAATCAGTTCATCCTAAAATAAACACCCACAAGTAGTGAGCTGAACAGCTCTGCTCTGGTAACCATACTGACTATATCTCCTTTGCTCATAATGGGACATCAGCCACCTAGTTCAGTTTAGAAACTTAGACATTCTTATCTCTCTCAAGCTGAATTGTATAATCTACAAATATCAAAAGAAAGGACAAGAAAAGGCCTTCCTGGGTATTAAAGTCAAACCAAATAATCTTTTTATTTTTGTCTTACTATTTTTAAAAATGAAATTATGGTTAACATTTTTTCCCCCTAACCCTAACAAAGAATATTATTACTGTTAAATAAAAAAAATTGCTGTAGTACTTCAGGATTTTCTGATCTGATTTTATGGTTCTAGGAAGAATGATTTTCATTTCAACCAATACTACATACAATTTGATTCTTAAGGAATGTACAGAAAATCATTTCACTTATCGCAGACATTCTGCTGTGATCCTCATGTTAAGTATTACTATTTTGAATATGTTTTCAGATGTCTTAGTTGTCATTGAACTCACTGTCAGGCTACAATTCATTTGGATTTTTTCCCTATTCAGCATTTTTATTCTGACAATTTGAGCCAAAAAAGCATTTTCTATTGAAAACCACAAAGCCAGAGACAGTTATAAAAACCACTTGAGATCTCCTTAAAAATAGGTCAGAGGAGTCAGTGCAAAATTGTGGAAACTTGAAATGATGTAAAATGATACCTTCTAAAGTTACAAGTATGCTTTTCTGTTGCCATGAACTCGTAATTTTCCCATGTCCCAGTCATACTAATTAAATGTATAATTTCTACATGCGAGTTTCTCTAATAGAATACTTGACTAACCTTTCAAATTATTATACGTACATAACTACAAATGACATTTTTAAATTGGAAAACACCTCTCAATATTTTTTATTTATAAATACACACATGTTCAAAATATACAGGAAAAGAAGTAAGGATTAATTTTTACTGGATAGATCAAAAGAACTTATAGAAAAGTTTGTCAGGGAGCCTTGTCTGTTTTAACAGCAACATTTCACATTAAAAAGGAAACAGTTCTACTTACCAATAAACTTGCATAAAATGATGTTTCAATTAGCAAATCTATGACTAAGTAGATTTAATTTCCTTTAAATATATTAAAATGTTACATACTACCACAGTAAAAGGCTAATAAATATGTAATCAAGAAGTAATGACAAAATGCAATAAAATTTTGGCCAAATGTGAACTTAATTCAATCCTCTATTCATAGGACAATAAAGTCCAGTGATGAGTACAGTGCTGTACTCTCTCTCATTTCTGAGGCACAAGCCAAATGAGGAAAAAATCTAGTAGATGAATTGAATCAGAATAGTTTCCGTTTTCTTACTGTCCAAAGGTAGTGCTCTCCAGAACCAGTCTCTTTCAGTTTACCAGCATTAAGAGAATTATGGACAGTGCTATAGACTTAAAACGAATAAATATAAGATCAGTTGTCCCATTTGCTGTCTTATCATCCACTCTTGAATAAATAGGGTAAAGCAGCATGTCAGAAAACTAACATTTTCTGATCTTGTTGGTAAGGTGCACAACATGTAAAGCTATGAAAATTTATTTCTTATCATTCCCTTTCTCAGTTTCCTCTTCGGAAATGCAGTGTCCTATTAACACAGTCAGAACATTTTTCGAGAATCACTGGCTTCCTTGGGTGGAAATAACAGAAAAATAAAGAACATTAAAAACTTACACAGTTCTTCTCTGTCAAGTGACTGTGCCCCACCTCCGAACAGGCCTTTAAAGAAACCCCTATTTGGTGCTTCTGGTGTTTCTACAGGAGTGAAGAGCTCACCCAACATTTCCTTTGCAATAAAGAGATACAACAAGGCATACATTATTTCACACACAGATTAATGAAATGTTCTGTCATTTCAAACATTTAGTTTGTGGATTTGAATTTCAAAATAAATGTTTTAATAGGCATCTGACTTTGCAGTAGGCAGTCAATGCTACTTAGCAAATAAAAAAATAAAAACTTATTAGGAAATCTGTCCAGACCATCTGTTCATATAGCTGCAAGCTTATAGCTCAAGAATATTTGAATAAAACTGTATTTTCCTCTCAACTCAGCCAACACTTCTGATCTTGTTTTGTTGAAACTGTATCCACAAATATTCATATCCACAGGTTGCAAAGCAGAATTTGCATAATGTATTTCTGCTATATCTGTATCCTACACAACTTTGAAGCTGAAGCATTGTAGCGAATCTGCTTGAATTCTTACCCCTTGAATTGTACCCCTGGAACATAATATTTTCCTTCAAGTATCTTAAGTTAGCAATCTCCACTTTAGTCTGCATGCATCTCCACCAGCTTCATTTGAACAAGAATTGTGCGCATGTTAAACATGGAAGAAACTGTTTCAAATACAGGAGTATGGATGAAACAGTACAATATAAGAGTGGGGGAAATTCATCCTGAGTTTGACTCTACAGTGAGAAAAATCAGAGCATGATAGTTGAAGTGCAGCTTTGTGAGGAATATAATTACTGTAAGCACTGTGAATTTAAAACAGACTTGGAGGATAGCCATGTTAGAGGATTGTAAATTTGTTTATATTAATTACCTGGAGATTTTCACATGTTTCTTGACTGTAGGTGAGCCTCTGTATTTCAGTTGGTGAGACAAGATAGAGTGCTTGTCCATTATTGGTGAAGCAGAATGTCCTGGCTATTCGCATGTTGGTGAGTGGCAGGTAATACACATCCAACAGTGGCCTTAAACTTGGCAAACTTAAGAAAGAATAAATAAATTAAAAAAAATGTAACAGGATTATCTATTATTGATCAAATGGTTCATTTTTAAAGCACACTATTTTCCTCCTCACTATCTGAATAAGTACAACAAACACAGGATATCATTTAATGCAGTTAGGAAAAATTTCAAAACAGAACTATGCAATCTTCCAGTTAGCACCTCAACAAGAAAAAACATCTGCAACAGCTGCATGTGAAAGCACCATTTAAATGATACTCTGAGTATATATATCACAGGTACACTTAAAGTACTATTCAGTAATTACTAATTAAATATTTTAATACCTGCTTATTTTTTTTCTTTCATATACAATTAAATACCCTGCCTCTTCTTTCAGATGAAGATTTTCTTCTTGAATAAAACCACAAGTCTGAAAGAACTGTTTGTATAATGCAGGCAGGAGTGCTTTCAAAGGATGACAGAATTCAGTAATTTCAAACAACATTTTTGTGAATTTATACCCACCTTTTTTTTTTTTTTTTTTTTTTCCCTGAGTGTATATTTAAGAGGAAATCCTCTTAAATCAAGGTTTTGCTTACCTTATATTTTCTGTTTCTGCATATGGAACTGCAGTACTTACTGCATCAGGCTACTAAAGAACAGATGCGACACACTCATGCTGTAATAATGCTCAAGCTACCAAACATTCCTCTCCCTCAAAAAAATACTAAATGCATGGATAACTTACGTCTTAATGAATGGAACCCAAAATGAACCCTTACCTCAAAAATATTATTTGTGAAATTTCTCTAAAAATAGAATTTACACAAAATCTTAACTGAAAATCTATCGTCAATATATTAAGCAGCTTTTACTGCAGATATCATCTACCTAAGATTACTAGTTCTAAAGACTTAAGAAAGCAGGACAAAGTGAAGCTGAAACTAATGATAAAGTTAAAAGTATAGTGGATAGCAACAATGAGCTGCCTCCCACCCCCCCCTTTAGTACGACACTGAAATTTCTAAATGTTAAGCTTGCATGTTACAGACTGTGCATTGTCCAGTAGCAGGAAACTGACAAAAGGAAGGAGAGTAGATACCTGTAGAACTTTCCTCTAAAGTCATGTTAAGAAATAAAAAGCACTATTTTTCTGTAAGCACATCATGCAGCTATGACACATCTGCACTGCTTGTATGTAAAATAAAATATTCCTAGTCTGCGTTAGTAAGAGGAAACTGCTTTGCCTCAGACTGCTGGAAGCATCAAATAATCCTTATAGCTTTGAGAGAAATCATGACAATATTAGGTCACATAGGACAAGCATGGCATTAATGACAGCATTTTCAGAGTATCAAACAAACCTGTAGCAGAATGGTCTTACCTAAATTTATATCTGTAGATAGGCATTGGGCATCTTGGGCATGACAATGCTGTGACAACTTTACACAAATGGCAGCAATTTCATGCTTATGAAATATCCTCTTAGATAGGTCCAAATCCCTTGGCAAGCAAGTGTAGCTGCCACCAGAAATAACTATTTCTGAAATAAATTCATGTTGTTCTAAATAAACTCATGACAAGAAGTCATGTCAGGGCAAGGTTGTCATAGGAGCCGATCAATTCAATATTTATAATTTAGCACCTACTTCTCAATGCAAAGTTCATTAGAAAATAATTGATCCTGAGAAAAACAGGATTTGTTTGAATATATGGAACATGAACATTACCAAATTCAGCTTCAATTATGGAAAAAGCAATACTTGCCCTGCAAACAAACAAGATGAGCAGCATTTTCTAGAGATGTTTAGAATGTATATTGGGGTATAGATCAACAGAGCTACCAACAGACTTAAAAATAAAGACCTACTTTTTAAATTATGATATGAAACAGCTTTAGTTTTATTCCTAGAAGCTCCCTGGTGAAATTAATATCTTTTTACAGAATTTCCCAAGCTTAGTACTTGATATTTGCAACTTCTACAATGATCTTTTAGGAATTGTACTTGCACAATTTTGAGTGCCATATTCCACATTCATCTTACCATTAGCCACGAATAAAACGTAGGTGCAAGGATATAGGTATATACAGTCTTCTCCCCCCTCCTACTGCTACTCAGAATAAAACTGCATTTGCAAATACGCAAGAGAAAGGACAGGTAAAAGTTACAAATGTGACCTTCAAACATTACTTTTATGCATGTTTAAATTAATAACTTAAACCTCTTAATTTAGATGATTTTTCTATACTGCAACTGTCATCAATTTTACCTTTATAGCCTGAGTTTAAGGCCTTTGTGACATAAGCAAGCTACAGAACAAAACAGTAAACTCAAGACATGATTGAGAAGCAAACAGAACTGTAACAGCTGCACAAAAAACATGCAGAGCTATGATTAGCTGAAGGTCTAACTTAAAGCAGTTTCCTCCATCAAGGAGTAAGCTCATGTTTGAGACAATCTTCATGAGTTCAAGGACTTATAATTTGTTGAATTGCTCTAACTTGAGTTAGCGATAAATAATAGGAATATATAATCAAAAGTATCCTGGTCCAGATGTTAGAGGTTCATCAACACTGAGGTGAATGTACATTTATTTTATTGATATTATTCTGGAAAAATAACTTGAGTTTTATCTAACTTAAGACTCATTTTTTACTTATATATATGTATGTACATCTTACTATCAAGGAGGTCTTACCTAAAAGTCATAATATGTCCATTGGCACAGAAACATGCAAGGCAGATACTGTTACTCAATGACACTATGTCTCCACGAAGAACAAAAGAAGTCTCTGTTATGTTTTGCTTATAAATACAGTTCTGGGATGGCAGTGAGATAACTTTTGCTTGCTTTTCAGAACATATCACTGCATATTGGTTTTCACTGATTTCCTGAGAGGAAGAGGGGGACACTGAAACAGGTCGTCGCTTTTTCAATTTATCTTTTTCATCTTTATCTTCAGGAACATTGTGTTCTCTCCAGGGTTCATGTGCTGGTGAGACTAAGGATCCTGTGGTATCCAGAAAAGCCATTCTCAAGATTGCCCCTTTTAGCCTCAGGATGGTTCCTAAGAAACAGAAGTTGAGATTTCTAAAACAGTTCTAAGTTGAATTTTAAATACAAAAGATTTCTTTATGAAGTTAGCAGAATGAAAGCTAAACAAGAACTTAGACTTGCCTAAACAAAACAGAAGTAAAACCTTTGGATATTAATCTGAAAACCAATGAAGCATGTGCAAGTGCACATACCTATTCAATAAGATGCTATACCAGTTTTCAAAATTTAAGTGTCTGAATATGCTCCATTAACATGAATAGTAATGTATTTATTAAAATAATAGAGCTGGAATGCATATTTGTAACAAAGTTTACAAACATGCATCATGTTCTGCAATGACGTTGTAGTAGGAAAGCTAAATCTATGCCTAACAGCACGTTATTCAGTGTTTATCTTTATTTAGGCAACATTCTGAAAACCATTAAGACATCATTACAACAAAATCAGTTGCTGCGTATCAGTAAAACAAGATCTCTCAGTAAATCACAGGAATACTTCATCATTAGTATTTAAACCATTAAAATACACAGACCTTAATTTTTATTTATTTTTTCCATGATTCTGTAGAACTGAAAGTTTCCTACCATACTACTGAAGAAAAAACAGAATACACATCTTCTCTACTATCTCTGTTTAACTACTGCCATCCACTACATTAAAATGAGAACATCTACTTTTCTCAACAGATATACTTTGATTTTTTTTCTTTTAATATTATGAGATTATATTCTCAACTCTGGAACATTAAAATTCTGATAATAAAAGTAACCAATCTATATTGTTAACCTTATTAGCTAGATCAATGAAGTACGTATTAGTTTCCAATTACTCCGTAGCTGAGAAAAATAGTTTCTTAACATAATAAAATAAAAGCATGAGAAACAACAGCAAGATTTATCTTTAGGCTGTACTCTGCTTTCTACTCACCACTAGGAGAAACAATTACTGGCTGAAGAAGTCTTTGCTCTCCTCCTGGGGGTAGGTTCAGTACAATGACAAGCACTGTACCCAGGGTGGTCCCAACCCACAGGCACGGGGAAGGTGACGTATCAGCTTTTCTTGTGAAAGTCTCACAAAAATGAAGAGCTGAAATTGCCTCGCGTGACTCTTTATCAATGCTAGTTACACTAGAACTCCTGGATCGACTGAAAGAATTGTCTTTGACATCTGAAAACAGATAGGTATTAATTAGAACGAGCAAAATGCAGGAATTAATAAAATTGAGATCACCTTTTAGTTTTGTTCTTTGGTATGTATTATACTACTGCTTTTTATTACTACTTTACTCTTCCTTAATCATATTTCTACTATGATTTTTCCTTAATCATATTTCTTTTTGATTCTATTTCCAACAAAGCACCCAATCTTTCTTTGCAGAGGTAGTGATTAAGTAATTGCCATGAATGACTTATCACAGAATGGTTTGGGTTGGGAGGGACTTTAAAGACTATCTTCTTCCAACCCCCCTACCATGGGCAGGGACACCTCCCTCTACACCAGGTTGCTCAAAGCCCCATCCAGCCCAGCCTTGAACACCTCCAGGGTTGGAACATCCACAGCTTCTCTGGGCAACTTGCTCCAGTGCCTCACTACTTCTTTCTTACTAGTATCAAATCTAGACCTGCTCTTTTTTAGTTTAAAACTGTTATCCCTTAACCTGTCACTACACTATAAAGCATACTGGACATTTCTGCCTTCTTGAGACAAAGAGTAAAAGTTATCATTAAACAACAGGAGTTAAAAAAAAAATATATATATATATATAAAAACTGTCAATTAGCTCATTGATCAGATAAAAAATGGCAAACAGCTTAATGATTTTTTTTTGAATATTTAACTATGTTAGTTTAAGAAGGACAGGGACAACCAGACATCATGATTACACAACCTGTAAGGACTTACAATATTGTCCCACTTCAGGAAACTTCATGAGTTTTCATAGGCCATTTGCACACACCTGAACTTTTAGTAAGAGAAACATCAAATGCTACCAAATGCCACTTGGCATTGCTATGAAAAGCTGAAGATCTCCTTTTTGAATACAGTACAATATGGCAGTAACACTTTTCATCGGGATGTCTTAGTCTTTTTGCTTGGCAAATACGGTTCTTATAACAGAAAGTGAATTATATTAACAAAAAAAATTAAAAACAAACCATGCTGCTCTATTCTAGCTGTGTGTTGTCTGTACCTGTGGTGATACTTAATACATCAGCATGCCTGAAGTTATCTGTGCACTCCAAATTAATGCTTTACTTTCTCAATGCGTCATTCCACAATTTCAGCACGAGACAACACTTCCCAGTAAAGTCTGGTACACTTTATTTATATCATGACTTCCTAAAACTAAGTTATTATTTTAGATCTTCAGGTGGTGCACGGAACATTTCTTAAGCAGGATTATGAAGTGAAGAGCAACGTTTAACTGCATACATACTAGAAGTATCAATATGGTAATTTCATTAAATAATTGCAACTTTTCTACAAAGAACACCCAACATGCATTTGAAAAAATCTTACAAACTAGATTTCAGCTGACAAAATACAGACATGTAGACAATATAAACAGTGAAACTCTCAGGAGAGATTTGTTTCATTCCAACAAGGATAGAAAAGTTATTGTCCTGCCTTGTTTTTATTTTATTTAATTCAAATGTAAAAACATCAATCATAAAAATAAACTAGGTCAACCACTCATATGCTGACATCTCAAGTTTTCACATTTAAAAACATTGCCTAGGAAAAACATCAAATCCAGGATAAAATGATGAAAATCCTTTTATATTTTTTTAATGACCACAACCTCTTACAATGCTTGTTCCTTCAAGTTTGAATATTTACTGGCTTTTTGTTTTTTCCAACTGTAACAGATTAATCACACATTTGAATTTTGCTGACACTAAAATACATATTTGCAAAAAAGGCATAAATATTCTGTAAACCAAATTAAGGCCAAAAAACATGGAATATATTGATATATTCAGAATTTAAAAATGCAAACCAACTGTAAACCATCTGCATGAATAAAAGATAACTCAAATCCTAGCATCTCACTAGAACATGGGACTACATGTGGTTTCATTAATTATACCCCTTCGACTAACAATTTGAGAACATACTTTCTATACTTCTTATTTCAGAAAAGATCCTTCTCCTCTTCCTGAGAAAGATACAATTACCGCAACAGGCATAAGATGTACTTTTATTCAGTTGCAGCTGGTTGAACATTTGAAAAGCATGTGTACAAATTCCAGAAGTATTGGAACAGACAGGGAAACACAGAAATTAACTAGCCAAACAATACAGGCATTGTAGAGAGTGGACAACTCATTCAAAGAGGAGAACTGGGAGTGAAAGATTTAACTGCATTAGTGCATATTCTTTATCCTGAAGTCAGGCAAGAATCTAATTTCTTAATAGATTAGTTTTGAATGAAGAGGAAGTTACAATAGTGTGACTACAAAACCACTTTATCAGAAGGAAGGAAAGATGAGCCTCTTCTAAGCAACTAAAGCTAAGACCTAGTGGTAATGGTACCTTAATCATCTGGGTTACAACATTGAAAAACAATGGTATAATGCCGACTACAGTATGCTTACGACAATTTCTATTTTAGGAATTGGAAGATAAATATAGAAGCACATTTTGTTTTGGCTACTTAGAGAGAACAGGGAGTAGGTCAAAGATTTAGAGACACAAGTATTTTGAAAGAACACAACCATGAAAGAGTAAATGTGATCAAGGTTCAAGAAGCCATGGAAGAAAATGAGAGAAAATACGGATAATGAACTTGTGAGAAAGACATTTCAGAGCTGTCTCCTAGATCCAGTACATATGGTCACCTAAGTGACAAAAAAAGTACAAGCAAGCTGAGTCACTGAAGAACCCTATGCAAAAGCTATTCCACTAGCAGAAAAGATGGTTAGTCAAATAAAAACAGACTTATCATTGCCTAAGGAAGTTATTTACAGACCTGAAAATTTAAGAATTCTATACAGAACAAAATGAGGTGTGTAAGTGCAGACAGCTACACATGGGATGAAGTCAAGCAAAACCAAAGACCATTACAACTAAGTAGTAAAGAAATACACCAGAAGTGAGTTGACCAGAAAAGCTCCATTATTTCATTAGAACAGCAAATATTAAATCATGTAAAGAATGCTGGTAATTTTAGCATTAGAAAATACTGTTTTAGCATTCTCTTTTCTCCTTGCTCCAATTAAAAAAAAAACAACTATGCACTTATTGCTATTGAAGAATTTCAAATAAAAACAACAGTAGAAATAGAATGAATTTGATAACATTTAAGCATAAATGCGTTCCAGTTTGCAAAGGCTGATCAAGTTCACCCTAAGCTGAAATTATCCCTAAACTGTCAGTAAAAGTAGTAAGGAAGAACAAACACAGTGAAAAGACAAATGAATTTTTTGTGTTCCTTAGTGCTAATGATGCCGTGTTTAAATCATTCTAGTGCTACACAGAAGACCTTTAGAAAGATGAAGAAAAACACAAAGTCCAGAGGCAATTAACAGAAGCCATTCTAGATTTAGACAATGTAACTTAAAAGTAGCTTGATTTTGTTAAAAACTAAAACAAACCTAAACCTATCTGCAAAAATGAAGATTAGCAACGTGATGACAGCTTTCAACAGCATAAAAGATGGACTAGCAAAGAGAAACAACAATAGCTATCCATGTTCCTTGTGGAAAGGACAAGAAAAAAAGCTAAGTTAATATGGAAGGAAGAAGTATTGTTTGAACAACAGGAAATTTGTTTAACTGGCTATAAAACACAAACTTTGTCTGGTATTTTTCTAGAAACTTATTTATTGGAGGCTCATGAATGAGAGGTTAAGCTGCCAGACACCTGGATCCTTGCCATAGCAATGGATTAAAGGATTTCTGAGGGTTTCTTCCAGCTTCACATTCCTCTGAGCAGAGCAAGCTGTAATGTAAGTCAGGGTGGTCTAACTCTTAAGTTTCAGGATATTCCAGTGCCATCAACTCTTCCCTTGCTGATAGCAAGGGTTGTCAAATACACGGTTCTGCAGCTGACAGTCCGATCCTGATCTGTTTTCTGCTGGGGTTGTACAGGGGATTCTGCTGCAAGAGGGGAAAGGGAGCTGTGGCAGACAGAAGGCAGCTTTCATATACAGGCTACATCTACTGCTGTAGGTCTACAGCTGTCCCTGATCATCTTTTTCTCTAAGAGGCTGGATCTGTTCTACAAGCTGGTAGTCAACTTTTGATGAAAAAGCTCTAAAAAAAACCCTAGTCATTTGTATGTTGTTTTAGTTATGCAAAACCTTAAGCATTACAAACTTCACAACTTATTTGCTGATTATAAGGTATTGTACTTTTTCAAGAAAATTGAAATTCTCAGACTGGCCATCTACCCAGCAAACAGCTGTATGTTATTTTCATTTATGGAGAGTGGTCACAAGACAATTACTATTTGTAAAAAGCATCCAACTATTTGTTGAGCAGACCTCAACATATCCTGTTGTTCCCAAGATACTGCATTTTTCAATTTAAAATATATCAGATGGTTTTAAACAGGCAAGCAATTTTCCTTATAATAAATTACCTGCTTATTCAACACTTTTTCTATCACAGCACTGTTTTGAAAGTAGGAGTGACAGATGCCTAAAAATTATGACAAAAATGTGATAAGCCATGTACAAAATTTGCAGGCTTACCTTATGATGACAGCAATGACATTTTGTGCCTGAGAGCCCCCAAGGAGAGTGGAATTAAAATTTTAGTTCTATACTTCAGATAATGCAACTCAGTCATGATAGTTTACATAAGTAAGGACTCTTTAATGTATGCACACTCTGCAAAACAGTTTCAATAAAAATAAAATCAACTATGTAAACTTACCTAAATCAGGCTTTAACTCAGTTGGCAAACTTAGCTTCCTGGACATCTTTGCTGAAAAGTGAAGTATATCTTTTTTTTAAAAAGAATAAACATAATTCTGCTGGCCTTTATTTGCCTCTTTCCAAACATTTAATAAATTATTGTTCATTACATTAACTGCAGTACTTAACAGGATTTCTATTAAAGCAGAGCCCGACTTTCACAAGTGAAGGGTGCAAAATAGAACGTGGAAGATACCACAGTCTTTAAATACAGCATTTTATTACTCTTGCCCAACTTCATTTCCCCTTAGACTTCTGAATGAACTTGATGGATTGGATGAATTTTGCTTTGGCTCAAACTCAAATTTTATCTCTTTGGGTAAGAGAAGATAATGCAGACTCAGTTACTGCAAGACTATACACTGAAGTTTTCAGAAATTTAACATCCCCTCCACTCTTCTTCTGCCCTACTTCCTGATCACACCTGAGATACTTCAAAAAAGAAAACAGATGAAATTTTAATTGCTCTAAAATGTAACAGGTAAGAGTACATGTGTAAAATAAGCTAGTAATCTGAGATGTAATCAGCAATCTTAAAAGAATGAAATTACAAGGAATAATTATATATGATCAGCAGCATACAAATGTAACATGCAAAAAAGTCAAATTTCAACAGTACTGGTCATGTGAAAAGTAGAGCTTGATATCATCACTGACATAGAGAATTCTGTTTGTAGGAACAGAAATCTTATGGCTTATTTAAAAGGCAGTATTATGCTAACAAACATTGATAAAGTAATAGGCACTAGTAGACTTGTAGCCATACATCTTTCATTTTTCTTTTAACAATTAGTAGAAGGAATAATTTTGATATAGCTTAACTTCTAGACCAGGGCTAGAATTTGAATTTCTCAGCCACATGCCTAAATTTTGATATATCATTTAGTTCTTCACTGTCTTTTAAGGGTAATACTTCTCCACCTAAATAGATGTTGGATACCTGTCATTAGGCAGATTGAATCTTGCTGCTTCTCTGTTAAAAATGGGAGTACGCTTATTGTAATTATCCTTTTTTTTTTTTTTCACAGAAATCATTGTTTGCAACATGTCCTGAAGAAGAGTGCATGATTTAAAGTTACTTCCACTCCTTCAAAAGGAGAAGTACTTCATTGTATCATCAATTATGCTCATCAATATTACAAATGCTAGTTATCTGAATGGTTGAACAGTTTTATTCCTGTCATACATTATGAAAATTTGAGAGTAAGGCTCCAGAAATAATCTTCTCATTTCCTCCACATGTCATTGTTACAAAGTATGCCCTGTTCAAATTAAATTCAACTCAGACCACAATGCTAGTTATTTTAACTTACTTTATTTACTTTAGTGCAGACTGAAATGGAAAAGGGTGCTGCACCTACATGTTTTCTACCCTCACAGCCTTGCATTGGCATCTGCCTGGCTTAATGATGAGGCCAAAGCTCATCTTCAAGAAGTTTTTGCCAGAGGTTGTTTTCAGCAAGACTGACTTGTTTCAGATCAGTACTCAGCTATACATATGGTCAACTGTGGTACAACACTGCACTAATGACAATGAACCCTTTTTTCTGCTGTCAGCTTGAACTTGCATCAGCTTGGTGCAAGAACATGGAACCTCATCTGGAATTAGGAATTATAAGACAGGTGTTCCTCATCATAAGACTTATTTTCTGTTTTGGACATGTAAATCATAAGAAGCTGAGATACTGAACAAAAGCTGAAACATGCACACTAAAATTGATCTGGTTTTGGCTTTTCACAGCTTTTACCATGTGTGAATATCAGTAACGATTAGTTTATTTAATCATTTTAAAGACTAGAGTGGTTACTTTTGGCTTCTCAGATCAAAATGTTTAACAATTTTAACAACTCGGGAAAAATGGCAAGAAACACAAGGTATAAGGCAACAGGTCATACAAAATACAGGTTCTTGTGTCAGATCCTAAGAGTCAATCCCCACTTTTGGCTTTTTTGTTCTCTAGTAAAAGGCCAGCTGCATGGTCTAGGTTGACAGGGTAAAACAAATCTGCCCAGCATCTTCTTCAGTACATACTAAAAAATGCCTCTCATTAATAGGACAACAGGATACAAAAGGTAAGACTGTCATTGCTAGAAACCATGAATTAATGTTATGAAGAAAACTTACAGTTCAAAACATACTTCAATGTGTCAAAAGCCACAATAATTCCAATGTAAATAAACAAGAGCCTATTTAAATAGCAGTACTGCCATCTTGTGCTTAGATAGAGAAGTGCCTGAAGATGCAATAAGAAAATAGGAATATTTCACCAGCTAAATCATTTTTTTAACAGTACTTGGTATAATAAACCGCTTGCATTCATATGTGGCTTATAGTTTACAATAGTTTTAAGAAAATTCAGTTTTTCCATGACTTAGATGAAAAACAGCAATACTGCCATACAGCTAGAGAACTACCACATAAAAGATAATGATTGGAGAAAAGGAAAGGAAATAGGATTGAGATGTCAGTGTTAGGCTTTTGACTCTATTTGTAGAACAGGTGATGTCAACTGCCCCTTCTGAGTGTAACTGACCTCAAGTAGCAGCTGTGATGCCACTGCTGAATACCTCTACCCCATTTACAGCCAAGGCTGCCTTTCTGTAACCAGCGCAAGACAAGGAGTCAGACTAGGGAATAATTCTGCTTCTCTTGCCTCTGCTTAGACCCACACTTTATACTTCTCTAAATTAGAAAACCTGAAGTTGTACATAGGCCACATACACACGTTATTTTGCTTATTTATATAACTAAACATATATTATGAAAATATGAGATTAGAGAATTGTCCAAGAACAACATCCACGATTCTTGGAGATTTCTCATATGTCAGTCTTGAAGTGGTAAAAAAAAAAAGGTTAGCTTTGCTAACTGTGCTATTTTTCAGTATAGCAGGCTCAACCAATTCAACGAAGAAAATCTGAAGACTACCTGAGACATATCTGAACTGTCAACAGGAAGCTATGGCTTAAAGTAACAGTTATATCTTATTTTGCAGTATGTTACCCTGAGCTATGTTACAAAACATTACATTGTATAGCACATTAGTTTGAAAACTGTAAACTGTTTTCTCATATATTCCCTATTCAAGGAAACAGTCAAAACCCTCTACTAAAAAAAATTCTCTAAACCTAAAATAAAGTGAGACAAGTATCTTGGTGTTTTGACAGACAAGAGAATAGTTTACATGAAGCATAATTCATTTAACATTTAATGAGATATACCTAACCAGCTTAGAATTTTTTTTCTTGCTAGTATTTTAGACATACTCAAGTTCCTATATGATTCAACGTTTGACAACTGTATAAAAGGAAAAATTTAAATTACCAAATTTAATGATGCTTAAAGAATCAAATACTGTACTGGTGACAGTTAAAGAAATAGATTATCAATGCTGAGATGTCTCAATTTTTTAGAAGAATAATGAAGTCATTTTACAACAGAATGCCTGAATCAGACAAAATATTAAAACGCTGGAAAAAAACACTGGCATTAGGGCATCTGAGAACTTAACCTTTGATTCTGTGAAAATGGAATTAAAAGTCAATGACTTTAGCATTGTTTGGCAATTTTAGTTGTACACTTCATAATGTGAAAAGCCTTATGTTAATGGTAACAGCTAAGTACAGAAATTTTGAATTGCAATTACTCTGCTTAGATTTGCCTAATGATATCATTTGCAATTGTTCTTAAACTTGCAGATTGCAAAAAAGAAATAAAAATGATTTTACTGAAGAATGTAGTCTGAAATAATTATAGAGGTATTGAAGTCTACAATATTTTTGAAGTCTACAATAACTTCACTAGAGCTTCTTACAGAAATGGATGTTGTAATACCTCAAGTTCTGGAAAGATTCATATTGATATATTAAGTCACATACCAGTCATTGTACCAAATACTTTACTGACACAAACGTGTAAAACAGCTAAAGATACTGCTTCAGCTCGAATCAGATCACAATGCCTTTCTACAAAAATTACATGGTCTTAGACATGAAATACCTATTTTTTTCTCTTTACATCTAACACACTTTTTAACAGGAATTCACAGAACATGAGTTACATTTTCAAACGTTTGTCATTCCCAAGAGAAATGTTTGCATCACGTAACGGCCAGAGTACTTTCTATAAATTCCTAGTTGGTTAAACCAAGTATCTCCTTGTATCTAAGGTAATTGCAACTATTCTGAAGTTCACCCCAATGCAAATGAAGGGAAAACGTGACCCTAAAGCCACATATTAACAATAGACCTTTGGATAGGTACATCCACAATTTTTTTTTCTTTTTACCTCCTAAATACTCGTAAAGACAAAGCTGAAACGTTGGTTCATGAAACATTTGCATTTTAACTTATTTATACTACTGTTGCAATCTTTGATGGTTTTTGATCCTTTAATGAAGTAAGAACCCTTGCCTGATACTGTCACTAATGATACAAATCAATGGAAATGAAGATGCTTCTATATAAAAGCTTTAATAAAATTATTAAATTGACAATGGTTTCATATTTCTAAATAGATGCATTTTCTGTTACCACCTTACAGACCTATCACTGAAATGAGATTACTTCTGTCTTTGTCAGCAGTTTTCTCTTACTGTTCACATCTGACAAAAAACACAGGGGTGATATTAATAGCGACTGAAATTAACTATGTAAACTATTCTTTTTTTGTAACCCATTTTGACATGTTGTATTTCACACATGGATAAAGACCTGAAAGTACTTGAACTGATTGCATGATATGCCAGTGCAAAAAGCTATAACCATGCTACATACACACAAACTCATTCTTGTGAACACAGTTGATTGTAAATTGTGTTCTTTCATACAACAGTGTGAAGATAATGACAGAAAGTAACACTCACATTTTACAAAACTCATTTTCCATTCACATTTAGCTGACAATTCCATTTAAAACAACGAAAATGCAAAAACATGCAACTATTATTAGCACCAAAGAAGTGGCATAGCATTTTGCCTTATTTTACATATACCGAAGAGCATACAATATAAGTTCAGAAAGTCATGCAGAGGAAAGATGCTGGGTATAAGGTATAGAAAACATAGTAGTGGAGAAAAAACAAGAACATTCCTTGCACAGCATCCAACTAACAGAATGCAGATGAAATAATTACATTTCTTCAGACTTCCATTACACTGTGCAAGGTACACAAAGTATGGTCTGACTGGGAAACAGTTATGAATTACACATCCAATGCATTCATTATGGCCTCTGCATTTAACTTACACCCAGAAGAAGGCATTGCTTGTAAACATTATGCTATTTTAGCTGTGAAAAACATTCACACTTTTTTTTGAAAGGCTTCAAGCTGAAACAGATGTCAACAGTTCTATAGAATTATCATTAGCATGTTTTATTAATACCATAATATTACTCTTTTAAAAAAGGGAAAATAAAGTAATGCACCAACACATTATAAGACCTAATATCTTGTGCAAAAAAAATAAGTTTAGAAGAGACTGCTTTGGGATAAAAGTAAAATACCTCATCAACAGGCACTGACCTAACATGCACAAGATTAAGTGTTGTTTTTCTCAGGAGAAGAACTGAACATAAGCTTCCAGTTAGCCAGAATCCTTTAGGAGAACATATCAATGAATATTCACGTAAACCATGCTCAAGTTTTTCCAATTATATAATTTAATTGACATAATGATCTATTATTGAGAGAGACTTGCTTTTTGAATTATGCTTAGGCTTCTGCTGTCTCTGAGCTCATCTTCCCTAACCTGTTATCACTGCAGTTATGATAGTACTGAGCAAAGGGGACATTTCTTACTCTTCCTCATGTTATGCTTCAGATTCCAAAGGAACCTTCACCATAGTCATATTTTCGTATTAACAATTCTTCTCGATTACTGAGTTGTGGATTTGTGGTTTAGGATTAAAAGTTAAGTTGTCAAACAGCAAATCAAACAGAGAATAGTGAAAAAGAAATGTCCTCCATCACCTGACCTTATGGTTCAACATAACCTATGAAGTAGTACTTCAGCAAACAACTTCACAAAATAGTTTGTTTTTTGACCTCACAAAAAGAGTTAAAATTAAGCCTTCCTGCTAATATACTATACATATAATTTACATATACCAATGTAAAAACAGAAAACATAATGAAACATTAACATAGAGATTCTGAAATGAAAGTAGCCATATCCCATGCAAGAAAGAAAAACCCTTTCCCAAAATCAAGTCACCCAGCCCCTGGACTTCATTTATTTAATGACCCAATTGTTATAAGTAGAGTTAATTTTCATTCCAATCACAAAAGGGTTCAATCTATAACCCGCATACAACATATTCCAAGGCAGTTTGTTGCCAAATTTTTAAGTGAAGTCTGGATTTGGAAGGAAATTGTGTCACTGTTAGATGCAGAAAAGTAAATACAGTCTGGACCAGTAATGGGGTGTATGTAATATATATATATATTTATGACCAAATATTTAGTCATATAGATATATATATATATATATATGCACACACATATGACCAAAAGTCCTTTTCCACGTGATTAAATCAAAACATGATACTACCTCCACCTTGACCACTGTAATATGGAAATCTGACCATGTGGCTATGAATGTAATGCACAAAAGAAATGTAAACAGCCACACGTTCTCAAAGGGAGCGTACCTTTGCAAAAAATAGTGGAATAATGTTGTGAATTGCATAGACTGAACTCTTAGTACAGATTAGAATTCCACCCATCCAGAAAACAGAGAAGTGCATTTGCAAGAGTGTAATTTAAGCCACCAGTATCCTTGATTTTTTTTAAATTGTGCCCAGTGTATTTAGTACAGAAGCAGCCCACAGAATCACCAATTAGAATAAAGAATGAAAACAACTAAGTATGCGTTTTTTAAAATTTTATTTATTTTTTGCTGCTGAGTTAGTGTTGCATAGAGTAAGGTACTGGATTAGGAACAAAACATTTTCTTTCTACTTCCTACCTATGTCATTGGCTACCATCCTGGAAAACTTTCTGCTTTTGGTCTTCACTGTAAATAATATATTAATAAAAAAGGTCAATCTATATATCAAAGAATGAACTGGAAAAAAGACTTTAGAAAAGAAAAATACTGTACCCTTTTCTATAAAATTATTCATTTTTTGATCATCATCAGAATTTGGTGAACCAGAACCTATGAGTGAAGACAGAATGAAATGGATATACGTTTAATTTTGACACAAAACCAATGCATTAATAAAATTTTCAGTTTAAGGTAGATAAAAAGATTTGTTAAAACATAAAATACTGATGGTGGTATTCTCTGGTAGCTGGTAGCTGTACTAGATACTATGGATTGCAATTTATTTTGTTGGGACAGGAATTCTGCCACATTGACATTAGTTTAGTGAGAGAAATATTTATTTCACTGAATAAAATATTTAGCACTGAGTAACTGTATTGCTGTCCTAATCATGGTTCCAGACAAAAAATAAACCCAAATTACAATTCACAGAACACAGTAGTAACAATAAAATAACAAGTTTTGAATTTTTTTTTTCCAATGCAATATAACATTGTTTGGCCACAGCTCCTCAATTATTCTGCCAACAGCTCAAAGCCAATGTTGTCACCTAGGATTTTTCAGAATTCTTAATACTGAAAAAACAGTAGTGGTGTCTATAGGCCACTACTTGAAGCCTCCTATTGAAAATAGAAAATTTCACTGGATTTTATTTTGTGCAAGTGTAAAAATAAGAATGGAATGCAAACATCTTGCTGAAAACAGCATGTCATTTTCACATGACTAAAAGAGGACTACAGTACTGTGATCATGCCCAGGAAAGGTGTAAAATTCAGAAACCAAACCTAAGGAACTGCAGTTCTTCTTATATCCGTAAGAGCTGGCCTTCCCCGGAACATACAAACATCACAAAAAGATTTCTTATCAGTGAGGTGACGACTGCCTCCATCCCTAGTTACAAGTACCTTTCTCAAAAGAAAACCGGAGAAGCCTGCCATGAACCTTCTCATTCACGAAAAACTGGGAGGAGAGGACAGAACAGAGGGAAGCAGGACACACTCTAAACTTACCACTTCAAGAATCTACTTTACAGGGCTTGCAGCTGTGGCTTCTCAGCTCCCTCTTTTCTCTATTCAGTATTTTTGGTATTTAGAATTATTTCTCTTTAGTAGTGCATGTGTACCTAAGAAATCATATACTCTTTTCACAGAATATTCAGCTCCCCAGAATTCTAGATTTGATTCTGTTCACTTTATTATGAGTAAGCTACCTTCTAAAGTCTTCTCAGATAGTCAATTTATAAATTAAAACTTAAATCCTATCACTCTATATTTAAGATTTACCCTCTAATTTTGTTTCCTTTCAGGACATTTAAATCTGTCTATTTTAAGTTGTCCCCTTATTTGATTCTCTTAAAATAATATATATATGTATCCAAATTGCATTATATTTTGATCTACTCCAGCTAACACAACCCAGACATGAGGGAGGGAGGGTAGGCAGGTTGTTAAATTTAAGATTTTTCCATATAACCTTGATTCTTACCCTAGTACTTCCATTGCACTGTGAGTGGAAATGGTGATTTGAGTTTTATACCACTTCAATATCAACATTATGAAAAAAGCCTCTAATTCAACTTAGTGTTTTAAGCTTTAGCTATAAAAGTTGGAAGTCATTTGGGCTGACATTTGAGTGATGCTGGAGCAAGAGAGAAAAAAAAGATTGCAGTTACAACTCATTATTTGTTCCCTGTAAACATTTTTGCAAAAATAGTAAGTTTTTCAATGGAGATGGGGCAGATGATAACAAGATATAACACTGCATTTCAGTTTTAAACAATTTCCTTCATGGCTCACTTCCTTCATTCCTCACATGGCTCACAGGCTACCATAGAAAAGGAATCTATCCTTAGACCCCTATACTGATTACCAGTTTGTACGACATTGCAAGTATACAAACTACACTACACTAGCTACCTGTGTAAACCTTTGACCTTTAATTTGGAGCAGAGCTTTCAGTGAAACAGATGAAGTGACAATACTTCTTTAAAAGTTTTGTCGAGAGTAATGCTGAAAATGTGTCTTTTACCTACTACATGAAATATTAATTTCTAATACTATACACTGACACATACTATTTAATATTTACATATCTATAGCCTCAATGAGCCAACACTGAAAAATTTCAAAGCTGTGTAACATACTGCTGAAGCTTTCTTTTAGAATATTAAAGTACATGGATATTCAGTAACTACTGAATATCCATCCCCTTCTCCTTTTTTTTTTTTTTGGAAGCAAGAAAATCATACTTTGTAAGGATGACAGCTTCTGAAGACCTCTGATTCCAAAGGAAAATGATAATTTGTGGAAGCAGAAATAAACTAGCTCCTTTTGCAAATTTTTTTTTTAAACCACTTCTGACAACTGAAACGCCGGATACCTGAACTACTACAGGAATTCATACACCTCTTATCAGTGTTTCAGAATTCCATTGTGCAGTTTAGTAGTCTCCCTGAAACACAAATATTGCAGATTGTATCTCTCTTCACTCATCTTCATGACATTTTTATTGCATCTGTTAAATAAACTTTGCTTTAAAAATACAGTGGAGCAACACAGCAGTTTTTCAGGACTTCTCACAAGTTATACAGGTTTTATATAATTACTTAACCAATATGCGCTTACTTAAAGCATGCCATCTTCTGTGCAAATAGGAAGATGAAAGAGAAAGTGATGATTACCTGAAGTAGGTGATTTGCAGCGATCTTCTGGCACCATTGTACCTTCATTAATATCACAAAGACCTGCTGGAACACAAAAACAATGTATAGTGAATATGGCTGCTATTTCATCCTTTTCTTCCATTACAGTTAGGATTTTTTTTTTTTATTAAATACAAACCAGCTGGCTGTGGTAGAATTTGTTACATCTTACACTTTTTAAAATTTGGACACTAGCTGCAGTGACTGCAAAGCTATTCACTTCATCCTACTCATTAAATTTCAGTGAAAAGAACTATCTTTTAAGCATAACACACTTATCTGAGCACTTAATTACATTATATAGATATATATTAGATATACATCATTTCTATTTTGAAAAAAATCCTACAAAAATGTAATTGTTAAAGAAAGTCACAGGAAAGAGGATCTCGAAGACTACAACCACATTCAGAGTATATGTGAAATCACTGAGTTCTTTCACTATTTGTTTTCTATCTGTTAAAGTGATGAGCTTTGTATTTACTTTTGTTCTGTGAAGTTCAATATGGAGTTTTACTGAAAGATTATGTCATCTGCTGAATTTAGGGTATTAGGGTGCTTAAAAAAGCCTTCTTCCTTATATGAAGGCATTTCACTAAATTACATTGTCAACTCTGACCATTTGAATAACTAATATGTTAACATCTAAAGCTCATTCCTTACATTCCAGTGAAGGAAATAAAGCATAGGAGTTCAGCATCTGATGCTAAAGATGGAAGTTACCTCATTAATGTACTAAAGATTATTCCATAGCATTAACTATGAATATACAAGGAATTTTGCCCTTTTCCTTTTTGATAATAAATTGCTAGCAACACTGCCCAGTTTTAAACACACTTGAGACTATAAATGTTTTGTACTACACAAGGTTGTGTAATAAGTTTTCTTAAAAATACACAAGCTGCTCTCCCCCCCCCCCCAAAAAAAAAAAAAACAAAATAAATTTTAGACAGTAGCATAGGTGGACAATATATTTTTATGTATATTTAAAGGACGATGACTGGGATACATTTACAGATAAATTTCAGCGTGTTATCTCTCCAAGATAGCCTGAGCAGACCACGTGTTATACATTCAGAAATCAATAGCTCTGCTAATCACAAGTAAGGGTGATCAAAATCAGCTTAGAATTAATGATCTTTCTCGTTAAGATCTCTGAAAATTCACAGAGCTCCCTTTTCACAGATTAAAAGCATGTGATTACCATTCTGAGAATATGGCCTTGGTGAGAGCAGATGTCCCTCAAAAATATAAAGATAGATCTTGATCAGGCTTCTTTAAGAAAGAAACATGAATTTTTGGTGCTGGGAACAAACAACCAAACCACGACTGCACTTGGTTACTACATGGGGAAGCTTTTAGATGAGAATGAGGGGAGGGGGGGATTGAAATCTCCTTTTTGGGAAAAAACAATCTTTTAAGCCTAAAAATGTGCTTATTAACAGTTGTAATAGCTAACATCCAGAAGGATCCTCTGACCCTACCTAAAACAGATATTAAACATCTCACTACTGTTTCAGCTGGTGGAAAGCACAGGCCTCACAGAATGGTTTCACTGGGCAGCCTATATCATCAATAGAGGAACAAAAAAAAACGTCAGGAGTAGCCACACATAGTTTATCAAACCAATTAACATCTTCTTTATAGAAGTTTTAGGTGTCCTGAATCTTTGAGGTGGAGTCTTCTGGTACTAACGTTGAAAAACCAGCTTCACCCACAGAACAAATACCATTTTGACATTTTAATGTTCTTTCATCACTGACTGTTTATTCTTGCCTCTCCCCACTTTCTTTTTTGGTAATCCAGCAAAAACTTTGCCAGCGTTGCTGAGTGGGATTTGAAAATGAACACGGTCCTTAAGTATGAGGGGAAACAGTTCTTGCAAGCGTGACAAAGAAATACCCAGGAAGTTTGCTGGCCTTCAGTCTGAATTGCAACACTTCACTTTAAAACACGCTACCCAAGGCCTTCTGGTGTCTGCCATCTAAAAATCTGTTAGCTTAGACACAGTGCTGTGCTCACACTGCCGCTCAGATGCTACACATACCTATTGTACATGAAGCTCTATTACAACATGCAGAAATATGAGCTCGTTACTCCCAGTCAAAGCACAGTTTCAACTCTGAAATGTCACAACAGACAACACAGTATCATATTATGTAGACTGGCTCATTACTGGAAGCAGGAGGTTTAAAGAACACTCTTTGACCAAATATTAAGTAAATTCTCACAGCAGTGATACCAGGAGGACAAACATATATATCCTGTGCTTTTAGAAATAGTCATGTTTCTAAATCATGCTCCTCGGGGAGCCAAACAACATAAATCCAAAGATGCAGTTCAGGAATTTAACATCCTCTCTCCTCACAAGTATTTTAATTCTTTATCTTCAGAGGAAGAATTGAGCTTCTTACACTAGTTTCGTCTGAAAAGTGAAATCCTGCTTTGTCCGGAATAGACTTTAGACAAGAATAAAGTCATATACCTACACATTTGCTTCCTCTGTAAGTAGTATTTAAGTTAAATTTGATTAATATACATCTTAATGAATGACTCACATCAATTGATCCAACAGAAAACCTCAAAATATTGTCTCTTGTCATAAAGCTATATGCCAGTTTTATGCATTAGTTAAGATTTATCCTACTAAAGAGTAAGTGGGCATTACGACCATCATTATGGCACATAAACCTTGGAAATCTAAGAATAGTCAACACTGCTTTTATTTGACAGATAGGAGGAAGGGACAGAAATACATTAAAAAAATGTATGTATTAGTTGTTACAATGAGCAGAGAGTAATGAAGATGATCTGAGTTGAGCCTATGAACTATGAAGGCCTGTCTACCTTATAAACCAAGGCACCCTGATATAACCCATGTGCACAGCAAATTCAGGAAAGGTTTCAGGCTTACAACATACGTGCAACTTGCTGTGAATTTCTAAACCAATTGATCCAAAGTCTTCTATTTCAGAACTGCAACCTGACTAAAACAAATATATGGAAAAGTGACCTTCTTAACAAGCTCTTAGCTTCCTTCTGAACTCTAGTAGCAGGAAATTTGAAATAAACTTTAAAATGAATCAAAGTCATATAATGCTACTTAAGATAGAAAAAACATCATGCTGCATTAAATGCTCCCTAGAACTACAACCAAATTTAACGAATGTATTATGCTTCATAAAATGTTTGATGATTTTGTGCATAAGCTTCAGGCAGATTTATCACAGAAGAAACAACTTCACAGAAAACCTGCCTAACAAAAAATACAATTAAAATAATAAACAACATGAGAATTAGAATTAAAAATAATTAACTTGAGACAATTAAAAGAACACAATCACACTGTGATTTCAGCTCTGTATTTGGCTTAGCCACAATTGATGTTGGTCTGGTTTAGTTTAAGCCTAAATTTAAAAATTCGAAATAAGTTCAGGTCCAGATCCAGTTGAAGTAGAAACAGGATGGGTAAATGACTAGAACAACCAACCCCTGTACTTTCTTCTGGTTTGATTCAACTCCAGTTCTGAAATCCTTGTTGGTTACATTAAAAAAAGACTTTTTGATGTGTAATCAAATAGAAGTCACATGCAAGCAAAAACTGCTTCTACTTTGTCTGAATAATTCTGAACTCTCTCTGCTAAAACATATAAAAATGTTATAGGAATATATAAAATATACATACATTTCTAGTATATTGTACTCGTTGAAAAATCACAGAAACCCTTGCAACTCCCACCAACAATAAGCTTTGAAAGAGTTAATAAGGTTGGTGTCTTCTGTGAACTCAAAATTATGGGACTAAGCAAGCAACAACTGCTATTTGTAGTTCTTTTGTGTAGTCATAAAATTTTGAAATGTGTGATATTTGGTATCAGTACTGGCTGTCTTCTTGCTGACTCTATTCTCCTGTCATACTTTGGAATTTGTATATCAAGCAAAGATCTCAAAACAGTATTAACAGCCACTATGAATAGATTTCTCATCATCCTGTGGAAAATTTTCTCACATTTCAGTGTACAGCCAAAGCTAACTTTTTTCTTCCACAATCACGAGTTAAAGATGAAGGTTGACATCATTTTTATCCATGACAAGCACCTGAAGACGTTGTCTAGCAGGCCTTCACAAAACACATACTGCATGCTTCACAACCTATAAACTGTCACCTAAAACGCGAGTAAAATACCTGGTAAGATTCACTGAAATTGCAAAATACAACCCCAACCATAGCTCGTACCTGTAGAACTAGTCTGAAGTGTCAGTTCACAGTCAAGCTAGTGTGGAGTACCTTGACTAAATAGATGTTGCTTTAAGATGCGACCCTGAAATTCTTTTCCCGAGTAAAAAGATGACAGAAACATACATCATATTCTTGTATCACAAGTGAAGGGAAAATCTTGCATTTCTACTCATACTTTAGAAAATACATAGCTCTTAGTGTATGATTTTTTTTTGTAAAGAAAATCTTTCTGAATTTTCAACTGATTAACTCAGAACATGCCATTTCGTAAATTATAAATGTCTATTTAATAGACCATCTGCTTACAATTTATGCTGGAACATATGAAATAGCAGGGTTCTTACTAAGGAAGGATCAACTCTTCTTGCTTTGTTTGGTCAAAATCTGTGGAAATGGTTGAATAACAGAATATTTTTTTCCTACTCCTCTCTATCATGAAATCATTGAATCTTTGGTTTTGCTAATCTTGGATACTATGGACAGTAGCAATATGCCGCTTTGTCACACTGTCTGAACCTGAACTTCAAACAACTAATTAATAATTTGTCTGAACGCCTACATAGGTTAGAATGATTACTTTCTAATGCTGTTGTTGTCTCAAAGAATGAGAAATACACTCAAGTTTCTCTAAAACATCCACATTAAGCACACAAACACTTTTTCTAGGAAGATTTACGTACTGAGTACTAGTAATGCCTGAAGGTTATTAGAACTGTACAGCAGTTGAAACAGTCTTATGCATACAAATCGTCAGATGTATTAAAATAGAAATGCTTTAAAGACAGAAACAAAAGAATTCGATGAATGTAGTCTTGAAATACAAACGAGTGAGCGTAAGTTCCTTGTATTTTTGAAGGCACTAAACACCAATATTAACGTCCAAGAACCGGAGAACACAAATCCTCAAAGTGTACCAACTAGCTCATATAGCACCAATCCCATAAATACAGCAAAAAATTATGCTTTAGCTTAACAGAGTTTTGTAAACATATACAGGAATAATTATTTATTTTTAAGCTACCGAAGTCTGGATAACAGCAAGAACTAGAAAACTAGAAATCATCAGAGATGTTAAATAACTCTAGAGAAATTAATTTCAGTCTTTATAGAAAGTGAGTGTGCAGCTCTAGCTAATCAAAATTTGGAAAGGATGGTGAAGGAAGGCAGGATCAACTATTGGTTAAGAAACCAACTCTCAAAAAAACTATTCTAACCTATAAATATTCCAGGTAAACTCAGATTTTCAATCGTTGGCTTCAGAAGGCAGTTCTGGAACTTCTGCCCATCTTTTGCTTCCCTTCACAGTGTCAAAGGAGCATCAGATCCCAGCTACCAGTTCTTTATCATCTCAAGGTGGAAGCGTTTCTTTCATGCCTAACTGTTCCTTGGCAGCAGATGATGGAAGACCATAAAGAAAGAAATAGTTGGCTATTAAGCCTACCATCTCTGAAATGCATTTACTTTTTTCTCTTTTGGAAAAAAACACAGAGAAACTAAAAAAACTAGACCACAGTCTCAAGTATGCTTTCCCCACCCTGCTCACTGTTCCTTAGGTTTAGTTTTATTCTACACTCCTGTTATAAGGTGGTCAGATTACAGCCCAAGTGCTGGAGAAAACTAGCATACTAGAAAAATGCATGTTATACTTTTAAAATCTACTTTATATTTTCTGAATTCTTGAATGCTGTGACTGCTGGAACACATCAGAGAAGCCCTGAGGGTAACTCATGGCTCTGATGGGCTACCATCAGCCCCCTACAGGGCTGTGCAATGCACCAACACCTCAACTTTTAAACCCTACAAGCAATACCTTCACAGAAGTAAGCTTTCATTTTTAATGGACAAATCACCATTACAATGTTAATAAGTAAATAAATAAGAATTGTCATCATGTAACACGAGTTCCGAAGCTTTTTCGACCAGGATGGGGACCAAGCAAGGGAAGGTTCTAGCCTCAGAGGACCACTGGATTTGGTGAGTCAGATCTTGAGCCTATAGACATCAGTAACTTATGAGACAGGTTTTTGCTTTCCTCCTCTCTCCTGCCAGTTCATAAGACTATTATCATGGTTGCTTTTTTCCTTCCAGTTTCTTTCAATGAAGCCATGAACAAGAAGTGATAGATGTATGATTGATTAAAATCAGTTTCTAAAACTAAAACAATTACTTATAATGGAATAACAAAAAAATATTTGTGGTGAGTAAACAGCAAGTAAAAAAAATCAGGTTCAGATGTTCAAAAATATTTTATTGCCATGAGATGACTTACTTATATAAGAGGTGCGAAGCTTTTTCACAGACTCTGAATATAAGTTAGAAAGGCCGCACATGCAAGAAGCCACAGTCAGCATACCTTTATGCAGCAATGAGAAAAGGAAAGACGGAGACACTAACAGTACATTTGAGAGAGAAAAGCCAGCTCAACAACTTGTATAACCAGGTTTAGAAAACGCTCTTGCCATGCAGGTCATTAGTATTAAAATGTAAAAGATGAAAAATTATATGAATTCATGTAACAGTTACATTCATGAGCAAGAAAGACTCAATTCATGAACATCGTAGCCAGAGTGTTAACTCAGAGTTATGCTGAACATTAAAATAATAAAAGGCAAGAGAAGTAATTTTTAACACTAAAAATGCAGTTAATACATAAATGCATGAGGTAGAAGTTAAGCCCTTTACTACCAAGTGCAATTAACACAGTGAAGCTGCAAAGTTATTTCTTTCTTTCTCAAAGATATATATATTTAAATTATACTTAAAGTATATCTTATCTGACACAGGCTAAGAACTGCTTATGTTCTGCTTTATGCTAATGCTTTTTTAAAGCAGTTTTCTCAGTTGAAGTAAGCTGACTGGTGTTAACTACATCTTTCTCAAACCAATGTTTTACTAAAATTTCCTGGAGCATCAATTTTCACTTGGATAAAAATGTTACTTGAACTTTATTCTGGATCAGTTAAAATAAACCAATCAACTCTAGAGCATGAAGAAGTTTTTTGAACATCAATAATTTCCCATCAAAGGGTAATCATTTGGGGGAAGCAGTGACTTTGTTGATAGCTCTGTCTTTAGCTGCTTTCCAAATTAGCTTAAAATTATCCACTAAGTAACAAGAAGGAGAAAATCTTGAAATTCTAACTTTTAATTTTGGCAACAAAAAGTTTGGAATTCTGACTGAAAGGTCATTTTCCTCCTCCGCTGCAAAGAAGCACCCTTCTTAAGTATACTTTTGAAGTGAAGTTCATTTTTCAAAAAAAAGCTTCTATTTTACTCATTTGGATTGGGAAGTTTAATTGATTTATTTATATCAAAGGCTTCCTCCGAAACTAATATAAGAGCATGTACAATATTATAACACTCTTTAGATTATCATGGACCTTTCTAAACAAAGGTTAAAATAGGATGCAAAATGATCTCAGCAGATACAGTGACTATCTGCTAATATTAATAGGTTTATACATGCATGTGACATGGATACGAGGCTTAGCAGAAGAAATGACTTCAAGCTGTGTTAAAGGCATAAATCTACTGAGTGTTTGTAACTTACATCTACACACACAGAACATGCATTTCCATCTGTTTTTTAAAAAACTAACATTACACTAGAAAACATTAACAATGATATCAAGCATTACTGAGTATTGTTTTATTGAGTATTATTTTTGAAGGAAAAAGTAACAAACCTGCAATAGTGATGATCAAGAAGAAAGGATGAAACCATAACGGCAAAAGCATACTTGTATGCAAAGAATAGACACTGTTAGCCTTGATAAACTCAGAAGATAGACATAGCTGGTTAAAATAAGTGCTGGATAACTCACCCCCAGATGGCTGCCGAGTTTTTCGGGGAGATCGTGGCTCCCTACGATAAGGATCATTGGAGCCATACAGTTCAATAGTGCCAAGATTCAAGAGCACTGTCTTCTGCAGGTAATCAACCATGGCAATACCATTACAGTTTCCAAAAACTACTCTGGAAAAAGATAAGTGGAAGGGAAGATAATGCTAATCAAATATAGGTATAATTTCAATTTTGATATTTTTTTGCTGTTCAGAATTTTAAGACTTCCTATTTTTTCTTACTTTATTATTACTATTTTTAATAAGTTGCCCTAAATTAAGAATATGTATAAATTATAATTTTAGAATGCAGCATTGTTTGTGTTCTTTTGTATAAAGATGTGACACTGACTAAAGTAGATCACTGTCATTGTATGTGCCAACCTATCTGACAGAGGCTTTACTGACATTTAGCTCTACAGTGCAAACACAAGGAAGAATGATGCTGATTTGTTTCTGACATTAGCATCATCAGCAATCACTCTGCCATGACCCACAAAATTTAAGCACAGGAAACTGATTGCATCTCGTGTTGCTGTGCAAGTCATGTGAACACATTGACTTAATTTTTAATAGCTGCCACATTAACAAGATAATGAAAAACAAAATTGCATAGAATATACTTACAGGCCGTATGCTGAATTGACTGCTAAGCTGGTTATCTGCTGAGGAGGTTCTCCACTCACCCACACTAGTTGGATAACTAGCTCAATTTGGTAACCTGGAGACTGCTTAAGAGGAGAATTTTTAACTCTGCAAAGTAAGCAAAATATATCTTTGACTCTCTAAAATCTCTTTTTTCTTCTTTATAGGCTCAGAATTCACTGAACTTTTGAAAGTTTGGATAGCTGCAAAGAAAATCAACCAAAAACAGACAACTACATCAGAACTGCTCATCCAGTCTTTTAAAAGCCCCTTTGATTCATTATTGTGTTGAAAATAAATTGAGCAATGATCACAAACTCTGTTTCTCTCTTCTTCAGAAAAAGTACAGCATTAGCACTCTGTACTGACTTGAACAGCGTCTAAAAGGAAGGTGGCACTAACTCTTTTCTGAGTTCCTAAAAGAACTCTGGTTTAGAGGATGTAAGAGTGAGGCATGTGGATGGAAGAAGCGTATGGAAAAGGAAAACATAAGCACAAGGTATTAGACAAACACAAACAAGAAGTTAACAATAGGGAAAAAAAATTCAAAGCAAGGTAAGATGACTGTGATGGTAGACCAGTTACAAATAAAAAGCTTGAGGGGTGGGGAGGTGGGGGGGAATTGAAGCTCTTGGAAACATTGCCTGCATGCTGACAAACAAACTTAGGAATTTAATTTAAACATTTTTATTTAAAATGCTTGTTCTACAGCATGAGCATCTATATCTATACTACCATCTGTGCCAAAGTTTCCCAAAACAAGCAGCATAGTCATAAAACTATTTTTTGATTATTATTATTAATATCAACTGGAATTAGGACATTTAAAGAAATTAAGATTGGAATCAATTTATTGAAAGGGAATTTAACTTCCAGGTATTTGCAGAATGTTGCTGTAACAAATGAGTTTCACTGACAATAACATTTCTGTAAGATTTTTCCAAGTAGATATATTATCAGCCTATAAATTTTCTTGTTTCTCACTCAAAAACAAAACAGAATATACTTACTTTAAACATGGGACATTATCACGAAGTCCATCAGATGAACTACTACTAGTTGATGGATGAGACTGGGGAACAATGGATTGAGGATTGGAACCTGTGCCAGGAGTTGGTAAAGGTGGCACCTGCTCACCATCTGGAGATTCAATATCATTTATTTCATACAACAGACGTACTTCCAGCATCTGCAACATAAAGTTAAAAACAACAAAATCTGTCAATTCTGTCTTTCAAAAAATACATGAATTAAATGAAGTGCAACCAAAGTTACTAGTGCTAAAAGTGACATACAGGACTTCTCCATCTTTTTAAAGATAAGTTGCTTAACAAATCTCACAACCTGAACACACGCGGTCTTCAGAAATAGAGCAATACTAGCTACTTGAGATTGAACATACAAAAACCTGAAAACCTAATTTATTTCTCACCAATACAGGTTTCCTGCTTAATAAGGACAATAAAAGGAAATACTGAATACAAGACTCATTTAATTGTCATTATGTGCATGTAATACTCTTAGTTATGATGAAAGCTTATTTTATGTAGTTTGGGAATGCTGAAACTAAGAAGAGCCAAAGGCAGGTGAACAGTTTGACTGATATACCCACTCAGTAGCACTATACATACAGAACTTAATTCAATTTTTAATGTTGCATCGATCTAGACTATACATTTTAAAGAACAGAATCTCATGATTTCAGATTTTCTTCTGTTGGATCTGCAACAACATTAGTATTAATTGCAGCACAGTTTAAAGAAAGTTTTCCAATATCTTATTCTCATCTGCAAAACAGAACTTAATTCAGACAAACAAATAACTATACAGTAAACTTTAAAGCATTCCGAATAAAGAATCAGCTTGCTACTTGCTTATTTCTAAAAATCCATTAGAAAATACTACTACTTTAGAAGGGAATACACTTACACATGACTAAACACTAGAAGAAAAACAAACATGGCTCATCTCCTTTACTGAGACTTGTCTCAAGTGGAAAGAATAAGAACTGTATCACCACTAATGATTTATTCAGAACATTGATAACTAATCATCTTCAAGTTAGCTTTCTGCTCATATAGCCAGATAAGCAAAGTTGCATGTCTCTAATTTAACAAAAGATTTCTCAAACTCTTGTTCTAGTCTTCCCAAGTCTTCTACAACTTGTAACAGTATCAAATCAATAACAGCAAAGTCCTTAATAGACCTTTGGGCATGTATTGTACAGTTCTCCCCTTCTTGTTCTGCATACTGCAGAATTTTTACCAAGAAAAATAGTAATTATTAGTAATCAAGCAAAAAAAAAAAAAAAGGCATCAACCAAAAGATTTGAAAATTCTTTGACTCCATATCTCATTTACTTCCATTTAAAATATATCTCTGATTCAACTAAGTTTTAATCCATGAGTTGGTTTGATAGAGCAAAGAACTATTATCAGTAGCAAGATCTGAAAAAGGCAATGAAAACCAAATCTTGTTGTGTAATTTTTATTTCTGCTGAATTTCATAATTTATTACTTTTCTTAAATGAAAAGCCCTCCCAGTTTTGAGATGATCTTTTTTGTCTGTTTTACTAACAAAATGAAAAACTGAATTGCTGCAAAAATCTTATTATAGCTATATTCTATAAAGTTATACAAATTACCGGAATGACTTCTGTTGTCACTTCCTGCTTGCTGAACCTGTAAATAATGACATGTGCAGAAACTCCAGCTATGCACAGCATTCTACTTTCTGGACACCATGAGATGATCTGAATAGCATACGGATCTTCATCTACTATATCCGTGTTTGGCCTGTCATCCTTATTCCGTGATTTTTCAAATACTTTAGCTGTTTTGAGCTTATAGAGTACTTGCAGCGTTACTAGGAGCAAACCAAGAGAAATAAAAGTTAGTTCCCATTTAAGCAAACATTTTTCTCTTGATATTTTTTCTAATTTAGAAACGTTTCTTGGTAGAGACAGCCCACGTGTTCAGTAAAATACAGCAGAGTAGAAAAAAATGAGTAACTGTTGATACCACCCATGCAGTGCACCACTTGCCCAATGCAGGATCAGTTAGTATCAAAAACTTTTCCTATCTATAGATATATGTGCTAAGCTTAAATTACAAACTGCTGTCAGAGTTTCTCACGTTTAGCAACACTTCAGGTTCTCTTTATATTGGTAAGAGCTAGTTATATTTACCACACCACAACTTAAGCCTATGGTACACAAAGTGAAATTCCTTCCCTTTCTCCTTACAGTATTTCAAATCCGTGGCCTCTTACTTGTGTTTTCAAACTTAACAGCCTCAATTCCTCCAATTTTTCAAAACAATTTTTGCAATGATTTTTGTATGTGCTGACACTGCACTCCCACATAACTTTTTTTTTCTAGACTAAGTTCTGAGCGTATAGCCTTGATACTATATTCAAATAAATGGTCTCATGCTACTCAACAATTAGTAATATTAACCTCAATTATAATTGTAATTCTAATTCTTTCTTCCAGTATTCTTGCAACTGCCCTAGTGTTGCTTTCAAACTTCACAGGAAGTCTCTGATCAGTCATCCAAACCCTTGACATATGACTAATCATATCCCTATGAAAACCTAACCTATCCTTTCTGCTCTTCTGTATTTCAGTAGCTTCACCCGACTCACATTGCCCTATTATATCTATAGGGCTGTGGTGTTGGGAGAAATTTGAAAAAGGTTCAAAATTAAGACACAGGATATCTGTAGCTTCCACTTAAACAGGCTAATTAATCTGTTATTAAAATGAAACGGAATGGCTATAATAGGAGCTACTTTTGACAGATCTATGCTGAGTAATATTTTTAACCACAGAGAATCAATCAGTTTTTCTTTCTTCCAGGTTCCACCCCCACTCCAAACAAATTAAAGATCTATAATACTCCCAATACTCCTCCTTCCCGTTTTTAAACATATATATTGCATCTGTTCCAACCCACACACTCCTTAGCATTTTGGAGCCTCACCAGTCTTCCACAAGTTTTCAAAAGACAACTGATAATGATTCCAAGATTGTTTCAGACAGCTATAAAGCCCTAAGAGTAAGTTTAGTCAGAACTAGATGATTTAAAATATCTAACTCAATGTAGTCCATTGTAATTTGAATTCTTACTGCATTTCTCACTGTTAGCTGTGTAGACCGTCAGAGGCAATTGACCCTTTAAAAATGTAAAATGGCTTGTTCAGTGCTACAAAGAATTTTACTGTTCTCCTGCCTTTCTTCACAAACATGTATATCATTTTACTAGCACAAATTCTGGCTCAAATTCTCATTTTTAGGTACTCTGAGTTCCAGGGTGCTGATATTATATAAAAAGAGCCCTAATTTTAGGCTGAAATAATTTACTGAAATTGAGTTACTAAAGTAAGTACCGAGTACTACAGAGGGATGCATTTGCCTGGCATTCTTCTATATGGTCAATAAGCTACTTCTGAAATTTAAAATACAAACAAAACTTCTTTTCCAGCTGGGCCTTGAACTACTAGGACAGATTGCTGTACCTGGGTTGGGGTAATCCCAGACAGTACAGCCTGGGAGAATAACTTACTCTGGGAAGCTATGTGGAAAAAGACTTAGGGGGTTCTGGTGGACAAAGAGCTTGACATGAGCATGAGCAACCCGATCTAGTGGGTAGCATCCCTGCCCAGGGCAGGGGCTTGAAACTAGATGATCTTTAAGGTCCTCCCAAACCAAGCCATATGATTCTATGATTTTCACTGAGGTGGTTAAAAAAAAAGTGAAAGGTTAACTAAAAAATCATGTTAGTTTTATTTAAGTTTAAATCAAAATTTCATATGGAGTTGCTGACTGTACATAAGGCAGGAAATATAAGAATGACTAGTTCATAATTGCATTCCATTAGAGAAATCAGTAAGTTTAGAAAACTCCTGCTGAACAGAAAAAAGTTATCTACTGAAAACACTTACTTGCTGAGGCATCCCAAAACTTGATTGACCCATCAGCATGCCTATGAAATATTAAAAATTAATAAGATCATAAAAAGGTTAGTTGGAGTGTTAGACCTCTTTGCTACTAACTGATTAAATATATGACTGACATTTATTAGTATTTGTTAAAAAACAAAATGTCATTACAACTTATGGTAAACCATTTACAAACACATGTCCCACGTATTTAAATGAAAAGGATTAAAAAAAATTGGAGGTTACCTCACTGAAATTCCACTGTACTAATTTGCAATTTTAAACTGATTTGAGTTACTTACATTTCTCATAAGCAGTTTGGCATACCTTACCATGCGTTGTTTCTTAAAATGATGCCATTATTTAAAGTGACATTCATAAAGTAAATGCCTAAATTAACTTTCAGTGTATTTCAGTATATTCAGTATTTCAGCGTAAATGAGTTTTCTAATTTGTTTTTATCCTTAAAGAATAGTCAGAAGACTAGACTTTCAGGATCATCTCTCAAAGTCTCTGTAACATTTAGTACGAAGGTGACAGTAATCCTCATTAGGACTAACGGGCTGTTCTTGAAAGAATATTTTACTGGTACTCTCACTTTCAGTGATGCACTGCATGGTTATAAATTAAATTTCCTTTCTACTGCTTACAATAGAGTTAGAAGGACCTGTTTAAAAACAAAAAATCAAAACGAACAGATTTAAGTATTTGGTTGTTTATTTTTAAAAGAAAAACTTGGCTTCCCTTTGAGAACTGAAAAATCAACAACAATTTAATGGACTTCCTATGCTTTAAAACATAATTCAAGTATTTTCCAAAAGTTAAGAAAAAAGGAAAAATTCCAGGATGTATAGACAGCAGACAATTATAATAACACATAATAGTAATTCCTGTAAAACACTTGCTTTCATACTATTCCTACCTTTTCTTCCATGTTTTACTTTCTTGTCAAGATTATGTAAATATCTTGTCTAGTGAACATAATTTCTTAAATGATTAAACCACTCATGGAACATTTTTCTTTCTATAAACGATCAAAATATTCCCAGTTCTACTCAACCAGATAAGTGAGTTATTACTACACTATGGTGTCACTTACCCTGTAATTATTATCTCTGGATAGCTTTGAGTAATCATACCCCAGTTGCCTCCACTGATAGGCCATTCCTAGAAGATTAATCAATGGAATACAGGATCAAATTTGGAAATATAGTACAGGAATTTGAATACTGGAACAAATACACCAAGGTAGAAAATAAGATACAGTGCAGAGTTAAGCCACTGAAATTATTATAGATAACTTTTTGAACTTGAGAAATATTAAAATCTGTGTTACTAGATATGTCTACAGCAAGGAAAAGTCAACAAGGTCTATGGACAACACCCATGCTCCAAGAAAACCCTTAGCTTCCAGTGATGTGGCAATCAATTGAATCACATCAGGAAAGCAGGCATGACGTATGCTATGTCCTCTCTAGACATCTACTAGCCAAAGACAGAATAATTGGTCAGGTGGAGCTTTAGTCATAGCATGGCCATGCTTACAGTGTTTGGAGCAGTTGATTTTCAGAATTTTCAAATAACACTTATGTACTAAGTGTTTTACCTTCTTACTGTAACCTTGACGTTTCTGTCGAGCGCCAACTGAATAGAGTGCAGGTATGAGGTCCACAGGACAATCAGCAAAATATTCACAACAGGTAACTGGAGACTCATGTATTGTCAAAGGATAAGGATTCTCAAATATAGGGTACCTTTAAGGGATGAAAGTGGAAGACTCAATCTAGGAAAAACAATTTATTTTAAATCCAGAACAAGTGAAACACTGAAGACTGTTTGGGTTCTTTTTGTACAAAGGAAAATAAATGCATACAAAATTAGATTATGAATGAATGAACATATTATGAAACTTTACTTCTCATCAAGTACACTATTCAGATTCTGTAGATCTCTAAACAGAACCTGAAGTTTGTACTGTTCCTAGAATATGTTTACAACACTGCTGTTCTTTACAGCCTCATTTTCAAGGTGTTAATGAGCCTTAATGTGGAAAAAAAAGTCAATAATATTCGGGTATATTTATCTGTGCTCAAAGGACTCTTCAGTTAAATGAATACTATGCTTTTTGTGTGTGTGAATCAGAAACAGCTTTTCAACCCATTTAACAGAAAAATTAGCAAAAACGTATGAAAACTTAATGCATACAAATAATTTTACATAAAGCTATCTGTGAAGCTAAAAATTCTTCTAAAAATGTCTGAAAGAGGCTTAATTTTAACAAGATATGTTACATCCATATGACAGCATGGGGCAAACAGAAAAATCCTGTAGCATCTACGCATGCATCTGTGCATCTTATTGCTTTTTCCAGGTCCAAAGAATTAACACATTGCAAGTGAAACAAAGACCATGTAGGTCTTCTAAAAAAACATAGCTACTGAAGATTATTACTACTTTATCATGAAACAGAACAGGAATTATCTTTAGATTTCAGGCACTGCCAACTACTTCACTTAAAAAAAAAGACTTGTAAAAAGCATTTTATTTCAAGCCCATTAAACTTGTTTTATGAATCTATGAAGCTTAATGCCATGGGTTTAATCAGAAACAAATTTTGGCTTCAGCATATGGCAATGTAAAAAATGGCCACGTAAAAAATCTAAATGAAACTGCTCAGTAGTTTCTATTCCCATTAAAGTTGTGAACTAAACCAATTTCAGATATTAGGATTAAACTTGACCTTCTTCCAAAATTCACAGATCCTTTACTGTCTAAGGTATCACCATAGACTTTGAGGATACTTATTTACAAGCTTTTGTCCTGCCATAGATGGATGTTCTTCACATGGTTCATTACTTTTAATCAGGAACATCACAAAGATCTTATCTGTCAAATTCCCTTGCTACTAATCCATTAATAGTTGGTGGCTGCTGCCTGTAATGATTTTGAAACCTCTGATAAAAAATTGCAAGACCCACCACAGCGTACAGATTGTTCCATGGGCAAAGTAAAACAAGTTTCAAGATGCACGGGGTAAGTTTTAGTTGTGAAAACTGTAATAAGATACTAGTTTTAAGCAACCTCTTAACACACTAAGCAATAAGGGAATACATTACCATTCTAATTTTGTGTATATACACAATTGTGTGTGTGTGTGTGTGTCTGTGTGTGTGTACATGGTAGTTATTACATCTGTAATGAGTTACCAATACTATCCAATACTTAAAACTTTTCAATTTGGGAATAATATTAACAAATATTTATGTATTTATGATGACAACCACACTCATTGTCAGCCAAAACTACCCAACCTCTCAGAACAACTGTTACGCCTGCTCCCTTCCCTAAAATTCTTTGCAGTATTTTGCCAGCTGAGCTCTAGTTCACTCTAAAATAAACTGATAATTAAAAAGCACAAGTGATCTGTTAGTAATTTCCTTCAGTCAACTTTGGAAAAAGTTGCATATACTGTTCCCATCTACTACATGATAACTTGAGAAAAGCTGCTTTTAAAAGGTATTATATTCTACCCAATAAAACTTATACCAAATATTCAAAATGTTATGTTTTGGGCAGCGAGGCAGTATGGTGGATTAAGAAGCTAAAGATCAGAACAACAAACTGACTACTGCAAGCAACCATTAAAAAGACTATACAAGATTCTTACCCATTTTGTGCAAGGTCAATCAGCACTAAGTCCTTTTCTAACAGAACAACTACAGCATATGGTTCCTGAAAGTCTAAAAGCAAGAAAAAAGTTAAGTTAGAGATAAACATCATACTCTGCATGCACAGCACTCAATCAGTCCTTGCACTTGATTAGTCAAGAGTAGAAAAGCGATTTAGATGACACACGGTTTCTGAAAGTATTTATGCACTCACTCCTCTGAATACTCTGAGTTTGGAAAAGCCACACTCCTTTAGCTAATGTCCTCAACTCTTTTTCAATTTGCTAGAACCATTTGAACAGCTCATATAACATGAAAAGGAACATGCAGGTGAACTTGTATAAGCATGATTCTGAAAGTACTAATTACTGAACAATAACACTCCCCCAACCCCAAAATTTCCTTATTTATATAAAATAAATAATATGGAAGTTGTCAAAGTTTAGCTTGCTGTCCTTCAGAAAGACAAATTCTCAAATTCTGAGCTAAGCAGTTCTATACACTCTGATGGAAGTTGACAGCTCAAAACACTGGAATCAGAAATAATAGCACTAATGTGGGACAACTACCTAGTCCATGATAAAGAAATCCCCTTCTGCAACAGAGAGATTACAAGTTAGTGAAGAATTTTGTGTGACTATTGGAATGAATAAGAAAGTCACTAAAGTTAAGAGTACTACACAAATGCTAATCAAGATTTAGCATTGACTGGAAAGGTCTCATGTGCACTAATAAATATTGATGAACACATCTGCTGCAATAGCAGCTTAAAATTGTAATGCTACTTTTTGTCTGCAATTGCTTTTGGGGTTAAAAAAAGGAAAACATGCAACCAGCAATCAGCATTCTTCTAGAAACAAAACAGATTTTATTATGAATGCTTTGGGAAGAAAAACAGACCTCAGACAATGGGAATAACAGATGTTGCTACTGCTGCAGTCTGATCCCCAGAGATAAAACAAGGACAATAGTAAGAAATATTCTGATGGGATAAAACTCCAGAGAAATTAGGTCAAAGTACAGAGAAAAATCTTTACAAAGCCTACCGTTAGGATACGGTGTTTCACAAAGTGTTAGAAAATCAACAATAGAATAATCCATTTCTAGCACAGCAGTACTTTTCCCATGCATAACTGTTAAACAGGGTCTTCTTCCTACAGTGTCATATGACAAGCCTCCTGAGAGAATGATGAAAGGCTCCCTGGAATAAATCAGACATACATAGGATCAAACCAAGATAATAAGTAAATAAGTAAAAAAATTGGTGATTTTTTGTGACCTAATAGTAAAGTTCAACAAGATATCATTAAGCAGATACATCAAGAATAATGCAAAGCAGCTCTGCATACAATAGATAGCTTGGGTACATTTCATACATTTCAAAATTTAAAAAGACTGTTTCCCAAGATGAAGCAGTTTTTATTATTTTGTTGTACTTTAGAATTGTTTCTCTTCTATTGAAGAGCAGATTCAGATTTGCCAACACCTACATATAAACACAATGTAAAATATTCCTGCAGGATTAGAAAGAAATGGTCCAAGAATTTTGCTTTTTGTATAGAATTAACCTAAAGCTTGAAAGATGAAAAATTTTACGAAAAAAAGGGGAAGTAATTTTGCAATCACAAAAACTTGTCTTTCTTAGAAAAGCAACCAGGTGCTTGGCAAACTTCAAAGACCTTATAAGAAGCAAGTACATAAATAAATGCCAATACTTCAACATATATTTACTCTAGATGTTTTATCTTTTTTTCCCCTACCATCATGCATTAAATTGAGGGATTTTTTCTGTCAGAGATTACACTCATGCCGTGTAATTAAATGACTAAGTAGAGCAAAACAAAAAGCCTGCTTGTCATGGTAGAAGACATTGTGGACTTTGGAAAAAAAATAAGTTGCTACAGAAGCATATTACAAAACATTCACATTTTCTCTAATACGCACATAATATATAATTTACTGAAAGTAAGATAAAGTAAATATATTGTACTAGATATTTTCTTCATTTCCCAATTATTAAAAGGCCACCACTCACTGTAATACTGTTTGTTTAAAATAGGGTCTTATACCTTTTTAAGAGCAGACTGACTGTTTATACAGCTGCTCAAGAAATCTCACCCACTACTGACTACTTCCTCAAATCTGAGATTATATTTCTGGATGAACAACAGGCACTAAGGGGATGCAATTCCTCTTATTTACTTGTACACCGACTTTAGGATGGCAAGACACACCCTTTGCTTGTGTCTGTCTTAAATGGAAGTAGTTAACACATCAGAATCTGGAGAAAATTTGTAGGGAAAAAAGCTATTCTGACTGATTGAGAAAATGAGGCTGAAGAGATATCTTTATGTTGTCTTTTCCCATAACTCCATCTTTCCAACGTCTAACTGGATTTCACTTGTGTTTCAAAGAAGTGTGACAGGTTACATACATCTTCTTGAGAACTTTGCATGAAGGGTTTCTTTTATGCACATGCTGGCCCTAATAAGCTTGGCTAAAATAGACATTGTGTTTGCAGTACTGAAGGCAAAGCAGACTGGGACAGCTTCCAGTTTCTCGTTATTTTGCCATCTGCCTGATCCTTCAGATCATGTTAACTGAAGAGTTAACATGATCAGTAAGTTCTGAGGCTGAGAAACAGATCTCAAAGGAATGGACATAAGTTAGACCTCACTGAGTTCATTCAGTACCCTGACTCCACCATAACCACAACTGAAAGCAGTAAGCAAAGAAGTAAGGACACTGCAAGCACTTTGCTTGAAACTTGGAGAAGTTTTTGCTTTCTTACACTTCCTCTTTTGGGAACTTCCTATAATATTTTACGATTGGGTCCATGAAGTGATTCTCAGGAAGATAATAAAATATGATTTGATCTGATATTCTTCAGGATGTTAGTGAATAGACATCACTTGTGTGATATGCTTCCAGTATCTCATTTTGATGGGATGATTTACTAAGTAGTTTGTTTTGGCAAAAGTTTTTTATTATTATTATTTTTTATTTTAATTTTTTAGTAATGCTGCCAAGACAATTTATAGTAACTAGTAGACTTGTGGATTCACTTTGATCATCTGATAAAAACCATAGCGATACATTTTAGTTTCCAAGTTTCTAACATAACAGTGCACATCACATGCTGGTTTCTGCCAGTTTTATTTCTCAAGGTAATCGGGTTGCTTTTGGCAGGCTTACCGGAGTCTGTATCATTACAAAGGAAAGAATGGAAGAGCTGAGAATAGATTACATAGATCTGTCACATGGATATTTCACAGATGAGTCAAAAATTACAGTTAACTTTAATCTGACAAAAAAGACAAATATGTTTGGATAGAAACTTTTCATGTTTCATTAAGCCAAGATTTACCATAAAACCAAGTGTACAGTTTGTAGTTAAATACTTGTGTTGTTCTTCAATTGTGATACATATTTGAAGGTTAGTGCACACTGATGTTTAATAAAAATGATTTAAAAGAGAAAAATAAAGATTGTAATTTACAATTACAATTAATTGTAGTAGGTGAGATGGATTCAGCTTCAATAGGTACATATTACCTACCTAAATCTATAGGAAATATTTAACAAGATAGAAAACGTACAAGATGAAGTGATGCTCAGCTCTTAGAGAACAGCTATACAGCATTTCCAGCTGCTGTGAACATCAATTCCTCATTGAAACAGTTCTGCTTCAGCAGGACTGAAATCAATCTCTTCACATTAATTTGCACTATCACTTAAATTTGTAAAATTACTTGGGGGAACACTGGAAAATATCGCTACATGGGTGGAAACATTTCATTGAAAAAGGTCTCAAAACCCACAGGATTAGCTCTTGCTGTGTATCAATACACAATACAATCAATATCAGTGGCTAACATTCCTGTAGGAACATTTCTGCTCAGTTTTAGAGGCAAATTGTTAAACCAGTCAGTTTCAGCAATCAGAATCAGCAATTTAGGTGTGAGAAAACAGATATAGATATCACACCAATGATACCAGCTGATTTGCTTTTCAGACCATGAGTGAACAATTTTCTTTCAAATCTATTACATGTACTTCTATAATTTGTGAAGAAATTACTCTCTAGAAATGAAGGCAGAAAAGGCTTCAAGAGTTATTTTAGTGCAAAAATGAAAGTCTTAAATAACAGTGAAGATAAATCAAATTCATTTTGGGAGGTGTGTTTTTCAACTGACATGCTCACAACACAAAATAATCCTACTAAAACTAAATTTGTTAACTTATCTGGATACCTTCTCATTTTCCATGTAATCTGTGGATCCCAATAATATACATTTATCTTGCTCGGAAGTGCTGCTGGACTGTCAGTCTTGACAGCTGCATTAGCTACCACCAACAGAATACCCTCTTTACTTATTAACAGGAAAATTTACAAGCTGTAATTTCTGTTAAACAGAGCTCCAGTAGCAAAAAATAAACTTGAGAAATTTCACGTAATGCTAAAGCCAGAGTGAATACCATCATGGACTGAACCTGGGGAGGTGGGAAATTAGCATTAGGAAATTCATGAGATTCTCTGGATACACTTTAAACAGGAAAATACATGTAAAGCCACCTCAGCATACTCAGATGGTAGCCCATCTTTGGAACAACCACTTCAAAAGACAGAATAATTTGGATGAACTTAAATGGCTGGAGAACAATGATGTTATGCTCTGTGATTGCAATGTTTTTACCAGTTTGATTAAGGAATACATCAGGAACCTGCCTTTTTGACCTCCTAAGTCCAGATACAGAAGGACTGTCAATAGTAACTTTTCTACAGATGTTAATATGCTCAGATGAATAAAGCTATAGACACACTATTGTTGAAGGGTAAACATAACTTCAGAGGGAAAAAATTAAAAAAGGCAAACAAATGCAAAGACCCCCATAAACTTAAAGAACAAATAGGTACTCTGTAAGCACCCCAGCATGTGCTCACATCCTCCTGTTTTCCCCATTCTAACTTCATGATGTGGAGTAGGTAGTGGGGGGGTTGGGGGGGGGAGGGTGGGGGGAAGAGAAGGTATTAATAAATGCTGCAACAACAGAAGGAATGGTGTCTCTAGCTGCTGCAACAGAATGCAATCAGTTATGCTCCTTCCTTCAGAATGGTTGTGAACATATTTTCTCAGAAAAAAAGTGTTTATTAGAATTAGAATTATGTTTTCACAATAAAGAAGTTAGGTAAAATAATTTATTACGCATTAGCCACTTTTTCACTTCTTCTAGTTTTTTGTTGTTGTTTTCTGAAGAACACCTAGAGCAGACTACTATAGAAAAAAAATTATTTCCTTTACTAGCCAGAAAACCAGATACATGTCCCAAACAAACCCAGAAATGATTATTCTCTTCTCTGCTACAGAAATCAAGCCATGAGCAAAGTATGACAGTCAAAATTGTATCATGTTCACACACCTAATACGTTTCCATCGGTAAAGAGAAAAGCTATAAAAAAAATCTAAGCACTGAAAGGTAGTTAGTCACACTTTAAAATTCTTGTTATAAGATTGCAAATAGAAATCCAACTGCACATGTGAACAGGTATTTCTAGTGCAACGCTTCCTTACCACAGGGAGTAACCTACACTGTTTAGTATTTATTTTGATTAAAGTTCGGGAAGGGAAGAATATGACAACATAGACATGTTGTTATGGATTTAATAAGTACATTGAATGGAGAATATTTAAGAGAAATTAAATTGAAATTCATTCAAACTGAATATTTTGATGCACACTGGAAAATAAGGGGTAACAAAAAAGCCTACACTAGGATACATTCTCCCCAAAGAGCTATGTATTCTCAGAAATTGTACTGGAACAAGCTCCTTTTTAAAAGCTGTATAAAAGGTCAACCAGTTTTTGTATTGTAATATTGAAGCTTGTTCTATAAACTATTTTTTTTTTTCAGAATTCATAGTAGAAGGCTTTTGACTGCAGAAATTGTAACCTGAAGTAGCTTCAGCTTCAAGTTATCTGTACCTTTATTTAGATCTCAGTTTGACATTTCAGTTGCGAAAATATGCAGACAGATGTAGACTGCTGTAAAAAAAATGACTATCAACTGCCTGTGGATGTTCAAACATCTGGGTACCAGCCCTAGGTTTCTACTTCACTTTTAGAAAATGAAATTACACACAGCCACTGATATTATCTGTATAAATACTGATATATAGTAGAAATCAATATTACATTAATAATATTCCATAGATTTGAATGCCTGGAAAGCAAACAAGATAATACATAAACATCCAGAAGTCAAAAAAAATTTCAAATAGCTAAGCAGGTTTCCATGAATATTTTATCTTTATATTGCACCTTATACTCAACCATTTTAAAGCACTTTAGAAACATAAAGGAAAGAAATCCCATAAAGTTCATGAAATCCTTCAATCCTAATTGCAGTCTTGCTAACAAAACATGCTATTCAAGATACTGTAATTCCATCTCAGCCTCTTCTTGCAATTACTGCTTTGTTACTTTTTCAATGTGCATAATTAGGAACAATTCAATGCATAAATTACTGTACTCTACCAGAACAGCTTCCGTCAGTAACATTTTAGGGGAGTGCAGGGGGAGGAACATGTATTCAGAATTTAGAATATCTGCATCAGGCCACTATTTTTCAAAGTTAAAATTTTTCAGGCCTCTACATTTCAGTGTCCTCTGTGCTCTGTCAGACTTTTTTTTTCTTTAATAAGATATGTTTTCAGAAGACTGAGTAAAAATATACAAGGATTGTTTTTGTTAGCATAGAATAAACATGTAGATGGTGCACTAGTGATACTAGTGATGCACTAACCTAAGTTAAGGTTTGTGCATATAGCAATTTTTTCATATTTGTTTTTGCAGTTTATTCAACAAATCTGATTTTTGAAAAACTATTTCAGCTTTTTTTACTGTAGCTCAGTGATACCAAAATACGCATCCCAACAACAGGAAACAAAGGACATTCTCTGAGAGCTAAATTTACTTTAAGTATGCTTTAGCTTCACATGCAAAACAAGTCTTACCCAGCTCTAGTTGTTTTATATTCCACTTTAAGGATAGGTTTGCAGGGTTCTGGTTTCTTTCCATCCTTCAGCTGCTTTCCTAAAGTGAAATTTTCTTATATTAATCTTACAACTACATAACACAATGGCAAATTAAGAAATTCACTATGCAACTTACAAAGTAAAACATTTATGCAAACATATATTCAACACCTCTGACAATTACAGAGTATGCCTTGAAATACCAGGAAAAAATTGTTAAAATTATCAGTACATTAACCCTGAAAATTTAGAGTTTTGTTAGTGGTGCCTTTTCTTTTGTGTGTGTCTTCAGTGTTGTGAAATCTTTATTTTCAAAAATATAATGTTCCCCTAAAATTATTTTAAGTAGCATGGAGGATTTAAAACTTATCTCTACCATTTTGCAATTAAAATTTCTCAGCTTACAAGTAAAATAAAGTTTATTCTAAGCATTACCCTTAAGAGCTTGAATATGAAGGGCTCTTCTTCCTCTACTTTGCAATATTAGCAACTAAAGCTTCTACAGTCACAATTTCTCCTGGAGTCAATAGAAGTTAGAAGTACGGTGTAAATATGCACCTATGTACATTGATAACATTTGATAAACCTATAAAGTTCTGCAGAAGATTTAGTTTGCAGCCCAATAACAAAATGAAAATGGTGAAGATGACAAAACATAAAACTGAAGTTAGCCTTGCCTTTTTTTTCATGAGAAATTTATACCTTCCTCTTTCCACTCTGGCCAACATCCACTATAATAAGCAGGGACTTGCTATAGTCTCAGATACGTAAACCAGAATGCTTAACTACAGCATCTTACAACTAACCTCACAGATTATCCTCACCATTTCATTCACACTTGTCTGAAGTAAATAAATTGCTGTGTACAGATAATACTCTGTATACCGATATATATATTTTTGAAGTATGCGTCCGCATATTTCACAGAACAACATGTTAATTTTCTAGGCTTAAATTAATGCAGAATTATCTGAGAAGTGGGAACATCTTACCAGATGCAAATCTTATTCTTTTACAAACCTTTCCAAGAATTTATATGGTAATCACATTTATACATGAAACACATTTATACATGAAACAGATGCTTGCTTATATGTATTTTAAACAACATATGGGACTGTAATGTCAAGCAAAAAGCAAGCTCTGCAAAACATGCCTTAGTTAATTTTAAGATCAATGTCATTGTGTAAAAAACAGCCTAAAGTTTAGAGATTTAGATACCATTGCACTGAGTTGGTCTCCTATTTCATAAAGACCAGACTTCTTTAAACATTAAATCTATCAAAATTTGATATGACAAAATCTACTTGCACTGAAATAATAGATTTTTAATACTTAGTTTTATAAAACATATTTCCATTAAAAGTTTCCATTAAGTTTCCTCTGGATTTTAAAGCACACAGTGGGCATCTATTTTCAATCTTACCATGTGGAGTGATTGTCTGGAACGGTCTGGTAGGAGATTTTACATTCCATATGGTCAAGGTACCATCTGAATGACTACAAATAAATTGTTTTCCTTCATGATGCCAAGCCACAGAATGGATAGCCTATACAAGAAAACAAACAAACAAAATATAACAGTACAAGACTAATATCTTAGTATAATTTTATCATTACTCCTTCCTTGATGACATTAGACAACAAAAGGAAATTACAGAAAGCACTACCTAAATCTTGTTGCTCTTACTATGTCCTAAATTACCCATGTTAAATTCTAAAGTACTTCTTTCAGACATAATTTATTCATCAAAAACATTGCCTTCATTGTACTGACATGTTTAAGGGGGAGAAAAAACCTCCTTGGAATGTTGCATTAAAACATTTTCAACAGTTGGTAGTACACAGAAAATAACTGCAAACTCTTATTTGAGCTTCACTAACTAAAGCTTATTATTGGGCAAAATAAATTATCTTGTTGATACTGAAGATCTACTTGAAAAGATCATTAAGTCAAAAATTCACATGTCATTTTGAGATGCCAAGTGGATATGCACAAGAGGCAAACAAGGGCTGAGAACACCAGTGAAATGAGAATTGAAGTGATCAATAAGATTTTTTTGAAGAAATTAAACATTTCAGTTTTAGATGAGGAAAACAAAATATTAGCATTCTGATGTTGCAATAGCAGTGTTGAGTAGGAAACTACTAGTAAATCTTTTCACAAATAAATAAATGTCTTAATGTTCATAAAATTAGGAAGTGAGCAATCAGCCAAGCCACATAAAAACCTACTGCAGAAAAAAAATGAAATCTAGTTGCTGCCTTTAGGTGAGAAAATAGTGAACAATAAAGCAATGAGTTCAGATAAAGCAAACAGATTAACTAGTAGGAATAGATGATTGTTGCTATTTCTGCTTCCAGTCTCTTAGTACACGAAGACATTACGAAACCATTTGGTGATATTCAAGAAAATGTTAGTTATATCATGAAAATATCAATAAACAATGAAAAGCCCAAGTATTTATCTACTATCCAAAAGGTGCAGAAGGAAGTATTACTTGCTATAAATATTGAGCTTTGGTCCTGCTCAGAAAGTAGATTTGCTTAATAATCATGGTGGAGACATTACTCTAGGCAAACAAAGCAGAAACTGAATGTGTGAATGCTAATAGGCTGTCCAATACTATCTTCTGAACGCATACCCTCAGTAGAGATTATCTGTAAACAGGGCTCAGACTCACTCCATTTCTTATGTACCTATGGATTGCCTCTGCAAGGAACCCTACCCAACAGTGGACGCTTAGATAATAAATACTTAGCAAAGAGCAAATCACAGAAAACAGATGTAAGACAGCTTCATCTAAAGTGATTATACACAGATCTGATCATCACATTTAATAAAGTTATGCAAGAGAACAAGACAGCTTCCAGCAACACGAAGGGAGAATCCAGAGACAATGTGACAGACAGGAAAATGACTGCATTACATGAGCGTGGAGTCTTCAGTACAAACAGTTTCAACTGAATATAGCAGATGTGGATATCTGCAAACCACTAATTAAATTTGACAAAGAAATGCTAAACTTTAAGGTAATCTTGCTCCCTCTTTCATGTGGAATCACTATGGATTTTGTTAGAAAACAGATTTAGTGTACCAACATCTCATCTACACATTTGCAGCTTGGAAACCTAGACAACTCATATGAAGTTAACCTAGAGACTAAAACAGTCTTGCTTAATCTGTCTGTGAGGTAATATTTAATTATCAAATAAAAGCAGGAATTATAAAAGCAGTTTTGCATATAATTTTTTTTCTAGATTATGTTATTTACCAACATAGTACCAAAGTTAGGGATCAGCGAGTTTGAAAGTGTAGACTAGCTAAAGCAAAGGCTGTATTTGAAGAAGCTTTATTTGAAAGCTATCTACACTATTAGTGATGCAATGTAATAAATGTTTCAAATACTCTCCCGTATGTAATCAGCCAACTCAGTGTAAATTAAGCCATTTATATGTCTATGCAGAATAGGCCTTAAGATCCCATAAGAAAGCAAGCTGTACAGAAAGAAGGATAATTGAGTGATAGACAGACACTTTCTTTTTATTGAAAAAAGGTCAAGAGGGAGGACACAAAACAACCCAGTACTGTTGAAGTGCATTAATGCTTATGAACATCGAGATCTGATAAACCAAGCACAAAGGAGAAAGACAATTGCTATCACTTAATTTCAGCAAGGAACCCAATGAGATGGAAAGAACACTGCAAAAGAACAATGATGCTGTGGCTTTACGACTTTATTGACTAATTTTATAGACCATCTGGTTAAATTTAATGACACAGTTAAATATTATTTAACACATAACATATTTTATGTATTTTTCAAATAATTCAACTAAATTCTCTGGGCAGAGTATGAAAAATTTTGGTACTGAGCACTATCCTTTGCTATTACACAACTCAACTTTTTTTTAATTCTAAAAATCAAAAGACTTGTAAGTAGTTGAACTCTCAAGGTATTCAATGGGCTGCCTAGGGCAAACCAGTTATAATGAAAAAACTACAGTAACTTTAGGTGGCACTAGCTAGTTTGTATCAACACCTTCAATCACCAAAAAAAACTTTTTCCATGGTTACTATTAGTACTAGAATTAGAAAGAAAGTATAACATCCAAGACAGAAAAATCAGGCAGAACACACTGAGGCCGCAAAGATATACATAGCTTCTTAAGACAAGAAAAAGCCCTTAAGAGTAACACATTTTTCCACTGATGTTTTCATACAAGACTTACCAATCCAGAATAAAACTACTTAAATTCTAATCATAATTCTTATCTTTGATTATTAAACATCATCTGGTATCCTTTTGGTACCAGAGCAATATGACTAAATCATCTGATGCTGATTCAGCTGCATCTCATATTTTTGTATAATATCTCACTGGTCACTTGGATCCCGATCAGACAGTAATCTCTCATGAGATCATGCACTAGTACTGCAGAGGACTGTTGCTATATTTAAGGCAGAAGCTGTCTATATCCTCAAGAAGAGTTGCCTGAACATGCAGCCTCCTCAGTGGCAGGGTAACACAGGAAGCAGAGAAGTCCTTAACTTAGTGTAAACACTGCTTTGAAACAACATCAGTGTGTTATCAGCATTATTCTCGTCCTAAATCCAAAACGCAGCACCATACCAGCTACTAGAAAAATTAGCTCTATCCCAGCTGAAACCTGGAGAGCAGCCCAAGTTCTGACCTCGGACGAATATCCTGAACCCTTCCATTCACAAACAAGCACCAAATACACAAAAACTGTACATGAGATTAAAGATAGAATGCTCTATTAATAAAGTAAATAGAAAGATTTATTTAGATGAAGTGAATTATTATAGCTAAAGGTGTCTTATTAAATTAAGAAATCACCTCTTTCACTTTGATTGTAAGTTAAGGCAGCTATTCTGGGTTAAGTGGAAGCGTGTTTCATAACCTTCTAGAAGATAAGTAACTGCCTCAGAGGAAATAAATCCATACATTTTTGAACAACAAAACCATCATGCTTGACTTTGCTGTCAAAGCAAAGAGTAAAATCCAGAAATGTAGAAACTGACCATCCTAATGTACTACATGGAGATAGACTGTGCACATAGGAAGCCTTACTTGCACCAGCTGTTCCGGATGCATGATCCCATGTGAAAAAATGACTGCTGTACTGCCTGCTATGAAGCTAATATACTTCATATTCAGAAGGAAACATTTTTGCAATGTCTGCAACAGTTACCTGAGAGAAATGGTAGGACTGTAAAGTGAAAGAGTCTGAGAAAAACAATTAAAAGCATCTATTTTTCTATAGAAGACTTAATTAAATCACTGATAATGAGACTGATGCATTTTAATGTTTTATGAAACTCCATTTTTTTCTGCTATTTTTTTTCTGTCAATATCCCTAGAATCACTATTATTTCTTGTCTCTTTAGAGAGGTACAAAAAATTAGAAATTCTAAAGACAACTTTTACTTAGAATCTCAGAACTAAATTAATCAATAGACTCATATTTTCATACGTTTTGATCTTATTTTTTTCACCTACTGAGGGCATTTAACTGTTTCAGTTCAGAAAATCTTTTCAAAAATAATCTTTTCAATTCATATAGACCTATTTTAGCCCTAGAGCTGATTACATGCATACTATTTTAGAACAGTTTGAAACTGCTCTTCATCTTATCTTCCCACAAGACAAGATACATGCAGAAACTGGTACTTTGATATGAATACAGTATTATTAACCTTTTGCAATTTTCTCTATTGATAAAGACTTGTTTTATATCATATTTGTAATATCAAGCTTATACTACTGCAAATACAATTGCTATGACTCAGAACAAATTTAAATCATCTACCTTTTTAATTTTTATTATTTTAATATGCACATGCCTGTATACTTTTCGAGTATTAGAAATCTTCACTGGCTAAACACCTCTGCATAATTTCCCAGAAGAATGAACCAAAACTGGGGAGAATTACATTCACAATTTGTTTTTGACCATGATTTTATTTATTAGATTTCCTCCTTATTATGATAGCCCTCCATCTCCTGCATGGACACATACAATGTTTTTTGGTCAACTTGAACAGGTGATAACATGCATTCTTTTTCTACTGATTCACCAAAGTACCCAAAACGTGCATAGTAACGTCAACATTCCTGTGTTAACTCTCTTCTGTGGCATTTTTTTCCCTTTTCTTAGGCTATGGAGAAAAAAAAAAAAATTAAAAAATGTAGTTACTGAAACTTAAGTGAATATGTAACTCACGAAGTTCATTTTGATGCAATGGAATGTACAAGGCATAATGACTGCCTGATCGTGCTTCGGTTTCTGGCAAGTCATATTTCAGGGTTGTGGATTTTTGTTTGTTTTAAATTAATTTATTTAAACTCCCCCAGGATACTTTGACATGCTTTTAATGCTGTAAAATAATCCCTTACCCTCAGCCATGTACAAGAAGATTGAGCCTAAAAATAGCAAACTGTAATACATTCTTTGAGTTAATGCTATCAAAGCTGACTTTACATCAGAAGAAAAAAAAATACTACTTGAAGAATGGACTTGATTGAATACTAAGATTGAAATGCATTTTTAAAAGTCTAGTTTATTTAAAAAACTAACTTTATTTAACCAACTAATATTACAGACTAATATTAAGTATCGTTTTACTTATTTCATGGCTGCAAATAAAGAAAGGGAAGCATCTGTAGTATAAACCGTATTCCATGGGAGAAAAGCATAACTTTAAAAAAAGTATCACCAATATTTGAACATAAAAAGCTTAAAAATTATGCAAAGAAAAAAAAAGATTTTACTCCTATTTTTTCACTAAGCCTGTCCAAGACAAACAAAAGTTTGTTCTCCAAATTCTGTGAATAACAAGAATTTAGAAGAATTCATAAGTGTAAACATGCAACATATTGCTGTTGTAATAAAAAAAGTATATACTACTACAAGTTCAGGATCTCTTTTGTGATACAGAAAAATTAAGAACAAATTCTAACTAGAATCCCTATCATAAACTAGCATGTTGTAGAGGGAAGATCACTCCAGTAAAGAGTACTAATACTGATCATTAGCTACAGCTGCCTCCCCCAACCATGGTTCAGCAGCAATATGGTTAAAATGGTTTTATGCTGTCGTGGTGATGTTGCCCATCCTTTAAGCATTCTTGCCTGTCCTTGGGATGAGAGCTCCTGATTTTGTGCTGCAATTTACTTGAGTATGGTGCTGGGTGGGCAGACAAGTTCAGACAAGAGGAAAACAGGGACAGTGTTCCACTAACTCAGCTTTCAGATAACAGATCAATTTTCCAACACAACAACATTGGAATTTGCTTCAAGAGAGCCTCCTTGGTGATCATGAAGTTCTGAATGAAACCCAGCAGAAATTTAATAAGTTGTAATAGGATTCAGCCTTCTCCAAGGAAGCTGCACAGCTATCTTGCTATAAACCTATGATTATATAGGAAGGTTACTCCTTGCTCATGAGTAGAGGAAGACAGTAAAAGGATAACATTTGGACCCCTGGACACTTGGGAAGTTTTGAGTCAGTTACATCAAATGACACTGGTAAAAAGCAATGAAGGCAGAAGAAACTTATCCAACGGCAAGGTTTACAAACAATTTTTGTGGTAATAAGTGTCTCTGGCCATCCTGTCTGTGACACCTACTGAAGCCTAGTCACCCATTAACAGCCATCCAACTCAAAATGTAGCAGCATTGTGAAGCACACACATTCCTCTTGTAAAGAGTCTGCAGAGCTAGAGATTCAGCTCTAGGCTCCAGAGGCAATACCAGAGGCAATGCCTTGTGCTGCAGCACCAGGCTCTACTAGTGTCCATGCTCACACAAACTAGATTTATTTATTTTTTAATCAGCAACACTTACTTTCCCTTAGCTGAAACCGGGCTAGCTGACAAACAGCAGGAACAGTATATTCATATAGGCCACTAGTTAGTCAGCATGGATCAAAACATAATTAGGAAGTTAACATTATGGAGCTTAACATTTTTTTTTCACTGACAAATTCAGGGAGATTCTCAATTTTTGCAGCTGAACACAGAACTGAGGCACTGAAGAACAAAATGAAGGATACAGGAGAAGACACACCTCACCTAGCCCATGCTAAAAAACAGATCATACACATACGAACAAATAGATCTAGTCATCGTTCACTTTCTGCAGCTTTACCTTTGCTGCATCTGATACATCATCTCTCATGGCCATATGGCCAGAGACAATTACAGTACTCTCTGCAATGACACCTTTCAAGAAATATACCTTTTACATGTGTAACAAGATTAATCATTTTTAATTTTATGCCACTCAATACAGAATCCAGAAAAATATGATACTGTGCTAACTGTATCAAAGCCAAATTCAAAAAAGGGCCATTGTTCTATTTTTCCTCCTTAGAAAGTTAGATTTAAAACACATGCCTATAGATTTATTTTTTTTTTTTTTTAAGGAATCTTATCATATGGTGATGCTCAGTAATGAGAACAGTAAAACTTCTCAAGCTCACTCTCTCTCTATTTTTTTTATTTTTATTTTTTTTTTTAGGTCTTCTCCTTATCCATCCCCAGTTTATCACAGCCATAAATACTTTCTTTAGCAAAGCATCTTACCTCAGGTATTTCATTACCTCTTCTGCAGTTAAAAAAAAAAAAAAAAAGGAATAGCTAGATGCATACACCTACACATCCTAAAGAAAATCAAAGATGAAATGACTTAACTATGCACTGCTGTTTGTGAACTCCCAAAATCAGGTTGGTTCAGGAAAACTCATACATGACAAGCATGAGGTCAACCTTGAAACAAGTGGGCCACAAAATCCAAAGAAAAACAAAATAAACAGCATAGTGACTATTCTGGGTAAGTTTCTATAACCATTATCAAAACTTTAATAAAGAACTAACCAACGTAAGAATTAGTTTAATATACCAGGTATGAGCAGTCAGCATGCTTTTTGTAACAGGAAATCACATCCAACAAACCTCTGAAAATGTAAATAAGCATGTGGCTAATTGAAACACCAATTAAGCCATCTACATAGATTTTTTTCCTCAAAGTCTTCAACAACGTTTCTCAAAGGAAACCGAACAAACAGATTAGATATCCTTGAACAGATGAGTAACTGGTCAAGGTATCAGGAAGTAAAGCAAGCTGAAGCAAAGACAGACTGGCAGTAATTGATCAGTTAACAGATGAAGGTAATTGGCAGAGAACCTCAGGGATCTGTGCTGCTTGGTTTATTCATAAATAGCCTGGAAAATCAGAACAAGAATATTGAACTGATAAGGTCCACTGACAATACTAAGGCTTATTCAAGGTAGAAATGAGTCCTTCCAGTGAAGAACTGCTGAAAGATTTTTTTTTTTCCTTTTCTAAAATCAGCCAGCACATGCAACTGTGAAGTGATGCAGACAAAAAAAAAGAGTTTAGTATTCTCCTGGTTTCAGCTAAGATAAGGTTAATTTTCTTTATTAGTCTCTGGTATAGAATGTTGTGGCTGGTCCACAGGTTTTGGATTTAGGAGAAAAATTATGCCAATAACACACCAATGGTTTAGTTGTTGCTTTTACTTGTTGCAGAGCAGTGCTTACACAGAGACAGGAATTTTTCTGCTTCTCATGCTGCTCTGCCAGTGAGGAAGCTGGGGGTGTACAGGAAACTGGGAGGGGACAGAACCAGGACACCTGATCCAGACTTCCCAAAGGGATATTCCACACCATGTTCCCACATGCTGAACAATAAAACTGGAAAGTCTGGCTGGGGGGCTGTCCCTGCTCGGTCTCAGAGACAGGCTGGACATTGGTTGGTGTGTGATCAGCAATTGCATTGTGCACCACTTGTTTTGTAAATTCTTTATTATTATTATTTTCCCTTCTTTTTCCATCCTATTAGACAGCCCATAAGTTTTTACCTTTTTCTGATTCTCTCTTGTATCTTCTACCCCCCACTGCAGGGGAGTGAGTGAATGGCTGTGTGGTGCTTAGTGGCCTATTGGGTTAAACCACAATTATACATTAAAACAAGGGGCACTGAGCTGACAATTGACACTAAAAAGTGATACAATACTTTTATAGCAGGTTGTTCCAAGGGAGTATTGTTTGATCCTTGCAAAGGCTAATCCAGTATTTAAGATCGAAAGAAAGAAAATGAAACCAAACATAAAGTGATTCCTCAGTACAAATGTTATGTGCTTACATCTTGAATAAGCTATTTTGTTGTGTTTTTCTTTTTAAAAAGACACAATAAAACTTTAAAAAATAAAATCTGGGATGAGCAAGAACCATAAGAAGTATAGAAAGAGATTGAAGATGAACAAAAGTAAGACTAGAAAGAGATGGAGATATGAAGTAGTTTATAAAATGAAGCAGTACATAGAGAGAATAAGTGAGGTGCATGTAATGCAATTGGAAGGTAAGAAATTGTTCTTCATATAACATACTTTGTGTTCAAAAACAACTGTACCAGCTTCAAAGAAATCTCATCCAGTTCTGATGATCTAAGGCTTAGGCTGCTTCAGAGATTCACCCTTCAGAGAAACGCTCCATAGGCAGAGCTGACACATGCAAGTATAAGTACTAAGCCAGAACAACCACAAAAAAAAAAAAAGAAAAAAACACAGAAAAACCTGTCTCGTGAAAACTTAAGCACAGAGCTAAGGAACATACTCCTTTTGTGATACACAAAGCATGTCTAGAGTAGCTAGTACTGATCTATTATAAAGACATTTTAGGATCTTTTAAATGTAACCAAGACTAGCTTTATGTTATTTTAAATAAAATGCATATACTTGCATAATGTGTTGAACGATTGATTTTTAATTTGTCTTTCCAGCAGCCTGAATTCTCTTAAAAAAATCAGGTTGTAAGAAATAAATGCCATTAAATGCTCCCCCCAACCTTTTTAAAAAAACAACAAACTCTCCTGGTTTTAACATTGATCTTACCCTACAGTGAAAAGGTACACTTACAGAACCATCTTACTGAGACTATTCATTGGTTTCTTTTCTCACATTTTTCAGAATGTGAGATTTTCCAAACTACAAAAATTGCTAAGCTATCTTATTTCAACTAAAGACTCAAGCTCTTAACATGGATCAAAGTCACACTACTCAACAGAAAAACAGAGCTGAAACCTTAACCACAGAAACTGGGGAAGAAACCTAATCCACGACACCAGTCATTGCAAAAAACTTGAACTCAAACATTTCTTCAGTCTGAAGTTTCTATTATTCAAACACTGTTTCTTTTACAGAAAGCTTCAAGTACTTGCAATTTCAGAGAGACCTATTTATTCATCCACTAGTGACAAGAGCAGGAGAAGAACTGAATAAAATAATCAAAATGGTCTCTCTAGAGCTGTGAATGATGTCCTCATAATATACAATGCAGATGAAAAATTGTTATTACCTCATCGTGTGAGTATCTGTAATCTGCCTTCTTTGACTTCAGATCCCACAATACCACTGTTCCAGACTCAAAGCCAATCAGGAGCTGCAATAATAAGCATAAATATTAAGTCTTTATAAGCAAATATAACACAATTTACATGGCCTGCAGTTCTCGTCCCAAAGAACTGCAGCCTAATACTAGATGAAGCAATCGCAAGTGATTGAGAAGCCAGAAGTTAGCGACAAGCTGTGAAGACCTCAAAATTGAAGACTTACTTTATACTGTTTTTTATTCTCTTCCAGCTAATACAATAATATTACATGATGAAATTAATTCAAAGTTAGAAAAAAATTGTTTTAATCTTCTGAAGAGTCTTGGGAAATCCCTTTGAGTTCCAGAAAGCCCAACATTAAACACTTTCCTAAATGTATTTCTTCCTGAGTTAAAATTATGGTTGGGGGAAGCACTTTTTGTTTACTAACATATGTTTTCCTCACAAGAATTTGTTCTGCTTAGCTTCGTTAGAAAAAAAATACACTAATTTCTGAAGTTCTGGGTATTGTTTCATTGTCTCTAAGAAAAAATTAATATAAACTTTCCCCGATGTCAATCAAAATTGAGTTAACTGGCTTAATGAACACAAAGAAAATTGGCTCAAAGGAAAGGTAGAGAGAAATTAAATATAATGCTTTTTGAAATCATATTTTTCAAGAGGCAAACTAAAACTATTTCTGCAGGGAATGAAGATCCAAATTGCTCATAATAATTGCATTATCACATTGTTGAGTATCTGTTTTGTTTTCCTATCTTAAGTGACACTTAATGAAAACAAAATAAGGCCAACACAAAACAGTAGTAACAGCCTTTGCACTTATTATATAATCAAAGAAGGTTCTTCTTATTAGCTTATTTTATAGTAGTTGTATCTACTTTTACGGTAGTTGGATCTACTCCAAAAGCCTTCATTTCAGCAACACTGCTAAAGTGATTCTAAGCATTATGCAGCAGGCCTTCAATTCCACTTTTTTTTTTTGTACCAGCAAGGACATACAGAAAAGGAGTACTTGGCTACAGATATTTATTCACTGCTGTAACAACCTATTTCATGTAAGCTGAAGCACCCCAAGGACTGATCTTCATACTAGAGATTACAAAACACTGCCTTTCCATACATGCCACTGCAGTCAGGGAAGAAGATCTACATGAGTCTATTGTTGTACCTAGAGGTTTTGCCTGAACAGTCTTTTCAAGATTTTGAGTTTTTCAGGGTCTTCAGTTCTATCCAATATGTAAAAGAGGATCTCCAGCCAGCATACAGACAATGTATTCTACTTCATTGCTACATAGCACAAAAACGACTTAAATACTAAGCATGTTTGATCCAGTAAAAGTGAATGTTAGATATTTTTCCTCACTACAGTGTCATGTATACTATTATTTTACACTACCCTGCTTACCATAAGCCATTTTATATTTTTTCTATTTTAAACTTTGAATTTAGCCTTCTATTCATTACGATTTTTCTAAGAGCCTGAAAGTTTTAAGAAGCAAGTACACAGCAGATTCTTTCAACTGCACAGGTCTTTGTTTTGTTTTGCTTACTTTTATGGATGTATTTTATTATTTTTTTTTTTTTTAATTCGAAAGAACAGGACCGTAAGGTCGTTCTACAAGACTAAAGAACACTCAAACTGATAAAAACAATACACCTTTCACTTTAATTCACAATAATTAAATACGAAGTATGGGTAAAATACACCATACTAAATAGATGGCTTGTCTTTCTCAAGTTACCATAGTTTAATTACATTCATAATCTAGTGTTCATGATTCCGGAGTGCAATACAGACCAAATCCTACAGAAAAATCCAATAGTTACATGCTTACCTCAGTGAATTTCAAGTGAATGGAAAAGCTCTACTTGTTAAATTCTTTTTGGACTGAATCCTCAGACATCTATGTTACAAGCTCACAACTAGCATGCTGTTAAAATATTCAAATCACTGCTGAGACAATACTATCATTGCCCAATCTTTTCAGTTTTATCCACCACTAACACATCAAACAGAAAACACAAACAATAGTATTTTTCCTGTATAAGTAGAAGAGTAGAAAGCAACGTTATTTTCTTTCTCCTTGAAAGTTCTTTTCTCTTGGGAATTCAAAGCTCTACAATATTTCTGAGCCATTACGCTGACAAATAAACATTTAGAACTTAATTGATCAATATATTCAATTACTTATACCTAAATATATCTATATATGCTCTAGAGAGGAATCAATGAAAATCTGTTTGAAGAGACAAGCTTTCTCAAACGGTATTTGGCTAGACATACTAGCTCTTATAATTTATAGCTAAATTATAACCATGTTTTTGAAAGTTTTGAAAGGGGTCTATACACTTTTGGAAGAGATGCATATGTACTATAGTTCTCAAATCCCTCCTTTTACCTTTTATTTTTTTCCCTGTTGTGAAAATTAAGGAAAACCCTTCCTGTTTACTCTTCAACTGTGGACCAAAACACCTGAACAAAAATTGCAGCAGATCAGTTAGATTTACTTAGTAACTATGAGGCAATGCAAGCTAAACAGGCTTGCATTGATCCTTCAAAGAGTTAGAGTCACAATCTCATCCAAAGATTAAAAAAGAGGTCGGACAACTGAAGCAAAGCAACCATGACTGAAGCGAAGAATGAATTATGGCAAAGCCATAACGTATATGGTGTCATTCTGTACACACTTGATCATGTGTAAGTGATTCTATAGCATGTAACAATACAGAATAAAGCACTTAGGAAACAGATACAACAAAAACAGATGTTCTGGCACAAATGGAAGCATTTCTTTATACAGATTCTTGAGGGTTTCCAAGGATTCACTGTTTTCTAGCACAACTATCTTGTTCCATCCAGTGTAAAGAAAGAAATCAAGTGGAATAGGCATTAGACATGCAGCCAAAAAAGCACTGAATTAAACTGCCTAGCAGGTCACTTCTTTATAGAAGTGTAAAATAAAGTATAAAATACTTTGTTTTAGTATTACAGTCATTGCTGTCAGAGAAAAATGTTTTAACTACTTGCCTTTATTTTTAATTCATGAAATCTTCACGATGAACTTAAGTTATTCATTCTATATCATTTTTACATGTGCCTTGCAAGAGGTCTCCCAAAAACAAACAGTAATACTTGCAGATTTATTCTAGAACTAAGGAAGTTCTGAGAAGTAACTTATGACCACTGATTTCATTGTTCAGGTTCTTCTTGTTGCCTCTGTGTCACAGGACATTACAATGAATGTTCTGTGAGGGCTTCAAGAATGTGTACCATCAAAAATTAAGATAAGACGACCACGTTAGCAATATCTCACAAGGACAATACAAGTCTGATACATAGTTTTCTTGCATGTTTTACTACAGATGACTTTTCTTTTGTACTACAAGCCAGTTAACTTTTAAGCACTAGATACTGCTAACTTTGTCAGTTAGATCTTGAACTTCATAAAAATTGCTGTCTTGGATTGGCTAAAGATAAAGTACACAGTAAGCTAAATAAATACACTTCAGTGACCACAAAGCATTTTACAGTTGTAAAAGTAACAACAGCCCCATGGCAATATAAAGCTTGTTAATTTCCATCCCAAGTTGTTTTTTTAATCAACTTTTTTTTTTAACCACAAGTAGTAATGTTCCTCACTTATATCTTCAAGGATTTCTGCAATTCAATGCTTTCACCTGTATTTTAAAATGTTTCTGATTACAAGATACATTCAACTACCCTAGCAGTGTTTCCTATATTCATGTCTGTACTTTACTTCATATTTTCAGAGCCTAACGCCTTGATTTAGACTTCCTTCATGCATCCAACATTGTCCTCATCTACTTAATCCCTCCTTAAAAGCAGTCGGATTTACTTCCCCCTTTTTTTTTTTTTTTTTTTTAAAGTCTCACTTGAAAAATAGTGTGGTGAAAAGCCTTCAAATGTATCTTACCTTTCCTTCATCCATTGGATTGTCGCTGATGTGAACAATAGGTCCTGGGTGAGATTTAGATGACCTAAACAAGGAATAATTCCAATTAAGCAAAAAAAAAATAGCCCTGCCAAAATTACATCTCATAAGGTGATTACAAGTAATTAAAAAACTATATTTATTTACTCTCATATTGAAACATCAAGACGTCAATCTTAAAACATCTCCTAAAGTTGATCAGGAGAAACAAAGGACTTTTAAAAAAGATCAGTTGTGTTTCATACAATGCCTATTTCACGTGCCATTTTTCTTCAGAAGGTTTCACTAGACTACATACAGTAGACTTTTATCTTGTATTCCTGCATACACAAGATTATCTGAACGCTAACTAACAATAGCTGCTACAGATAAGACAAAGCCCATATTATTATTTCCATAAAGCTTTGCCTTCTTTAATTGCACAAACTGGAAAGCTACATTCTATCTATCTTCTTCAACATGCTCTTTTGTAGACAAGATATGATACGCTCTCTAAACTGTTAATTCTTCAGCGATAAAAAAAGAAGTAACTTTTTTAAAAAAGTAACTGTTTTTTAACCATTATATAATTTTTATACTGCTCAAGATGGGTACTATTAAAATGGGGTTTATTAAAAAAATCTGTTTTTATGTTGACTTCTTGCTATTAAAGAATTGTTATCTTGATATTAAAGAAGATTGACAAATGAAGAGATGTGCTTTTTTTCCCCAAAAGCCTTTGGCAAGTGATGGACTTCATGTATGTTTTGAAGATACATATAACACTCTAGAAACAACAGCAGCACAGCAACAGCAGCATATAAGTATGTTTTCACCCACATACCACTACATTTACATTCACAAATCTATTATTAAAAAAGGAAGGAAGAACGGAAATAGCTGTAAAAAATATATTTTGTTCTTGGAATAGGCTTATTTAAATTTATATTTTTAGCCAGTATGCATCGGCCCTGTCACAATGCATATCTTTACACTCTGGAAGATATTCTGCAAGGATTACTGAATCCAATTATCCCTGAAAACATGCTGATGTTAAACAGTTCTGGGCATCACAGCCTTAAGTCAAGTCAGAAATAGTTTTAACAAGCTAGAAAAACAAAAGTTCACCAAGTTAACATTAACACTTCACTTTTATTAAAATAAAGTTATTTACATGCCCATGTACTTTGCCCATATTATTTGGTGCAATGAGACTAATATGGAGGTCGTTCTAGATAAGAATGCCAATTCTACAACTTAAAACATCTTGGACACTTGGACATCTGTTTCCCTCACCACCACCACCCCCAACAGACAATACTAGACAGAACTCACAGTTCAATGGCTTTATTCCACATGATGACATAGCCTGAGAGAGTAAATGATTCCACGTTGACAATGTGAATGTTTCCTCTTTCGGTACCCACATATAGCCATTTACTTTGGAAAGGTAGATGACAAAATGTTATCCTGAAAAAGAATACCACCGGAAAAAGAGGATTAAAGAATTTTTATTTTTTTTTTTTTATAAATCCTGTATTTCAATGTCTAAATTGCCAAAAAGTAGAAGAAACGCAGCAGGCAAAAAGGAAAAAATACAAGTTACAGTTAGATAAAAATAGCAAAAACAGTACTTGATCAGAGATCCACAGACAATGTAAAATTTAGACTAAACATAGAATATAAACCAAAGTATTCTAAGACTATTAAGTCTTTCAGATAAAAACCACACTGCTGCCATTGAAAATCATCACATTGAATGTTTATCCCCAAGTTAGCTGCCATTTTAAGCTTAAAACACAATACTCTTATGTTATAATCTATAAACCTCCCTTTGAAAACTATCTAATTTCAAGTTTTGAAGAACAAAACTTAAGTTAGTTAAGTTAAGGAAGTAGCTTGCTGCAGTTTAAACTGGCTTCAAGCGAATGAAGCGAATGGAGAAAGTGTAACCTAATAAACATAAGTTTACACGTAACCCAATGTATCCCCCCAAAGACCAAGCCTATTAACAACCATAAGACCTATAAAATAATAAAATTCATTTTAAAAGTAATTTAAAGTTGGTGTTACTATTTTACTTAAACCACATTTTAATTTCCAATCTTGCATTTTTCACCTCTGTTGCTAGAAAGAAATAGCTGAACAAAACCCAAATGCTAATGGCTGGCAGAAATCCTCTGACTGTATCTCCAGTGCAAGAAGTAGTATTTTAAAAGTTACTTATTTCTGACCTCTTGAGTTCTGCTTATTGTTTAATTTTTTGATAAAGGTAATAATGTATGCATAGGAACTGGAGCTTCTAAAGTATTTGGGTTTTCTATATAACAGAAATACTAAGTTAAACCCTAGAAAATTTCTATAAAATGTTTTTGAATTTACAGTTTCATCTGATAAGGTCCAATATGGTAAAAACCTGACAAATTCCTTGGACTATCAAACTAGGATTTTCAGAAAGGTTTCAGTGATAAGCTGAAATAATTATTAATTGGGAATTTGTTTTGTCAGTGCTAATCCTTAGCTTTACATATTTTTTCTTATTTTTTCCCAGTTGGGTTCCCTTCTTGCCAAATCCATGCATCATTTCACAAGCCTGTTAATAATTATTTACGCAAAGAACAGCTTTAGATCCTTTGCATTAGATGTTCTATATGTGCTTGTTAAATGCATAAAAACGAAGTCTAACAGCAGCAATGCAAAAAATTACTGATGGATGAAAAGACATTAATTTGTATTACAGGTTTCAAAAGTTAAAGTGTCCGTTGTAACACTACCTGGATCCAAAGTGCACCACTTAACTTTTTATATCACTTATTTCCAGTGAGGGAATGCTGATTGCTTAAGCAAATCTTTAATTTATCCATTTTCTGACTTTCTTGGTTTCTTTTGCTCTTGTACTTAAATATTAAAATGCAAAGGCTTCACTTTTTTTCCATTGATGTTACATAGAAAAAAGTACTCTAGGCAAGGTTTAAAGTGCTCCAACTCAGTGAACTTGTAGAGGTTATAACATTTTTACTACAGAGTAATCTGTAAACACTGCAGGTGAAGCACTTGCATTTCACCAACTTCCTTGGAAGAAAGAGAAGACAGATTTTATTGGAAGTTAGAAACATACATCTGTACACACACACCATTGAGGACCCCAAATACCACTGCCCAGTAAGAGAGCTCTCCCAATGTAAGCAGGACAGCAGGGTATGTGAAGAAAGGCAGTGTGAGGCAGGAGGTAAAGCAAACTTTCAGCACTCTGCAATGCTATAGATTTTTTTCCTGGCATTCCATGTGCCAGAAAAAAGCTGGCAGCCGCATCAGCTGGATCTAAACTTGTAGCCTAGCAGCCAGAAAGAATATTCAAGAGCAGGGTCACGGGTATATCTATGTTGACCTGTGAGTTAATATTGTCACCTATAGTTGCCCAACACTCATTCTAAAAACAAAAACTCAACCAAAATCTAAAATCTATTTCATGGCATTTAAAGGTGGACAAAAATATAATTTTGGGCTTCAATTTCAATTGCTATAATGAAAAGGCAACACTTGAAGGTAAAAGAAAAGCGTTCAACTCCTCAATACTCTTGATACCTTTCTGGAATACTTTTTGCACTCTTCAGCCATACTCAATGTCTTCTCTGTGCAGCAGAGATTACTTTTGTCAACAGTTAGCAAGCAGTGAAATGCTTCCACACCAAGAGTAAGTTACATTTGATCTAGTAGCTTTACTAAATCTCAAAGTCAGGAGGCAAATGACTTCAGAATTGTAAGTATAGGTACATTTAAAGTAGTGTTCCCAACCCAACCTTCAAAGTGTGCTTTTAGCAGTCTTCCACAATCAGAAAGTCTTGCATGACATATATATAACTAAAAAATATTCTTTTGGAGCTTTCATGGTTCACAGAACTGATGACTAGCTAAGTCCAAATGGAATTCACAGCTGCAATGATGAAAGAATCACTGCATTACTCCATTTTCTTTCTGAGATAAAAGTATACCTTCCAATTTTCAGAAATTCTATTATATTTTCATCTACTTGATTCATTTCAGATAACTGCATTTATTTTTGCATTCAATTTACAGAATAACATTTCCAACATTATGGTCCATGTACTGAGTTTCTCTTCTCTTCAGTGTTTAAGGCTTCACCTAAGACACTAAGCAGATTTTAAACAATGGCTGGAAAATGTATAGCCCCCTTAGAAAATAAATTCAGTGAAGCTATGACCATCTTAACAACCAGAGAAACCACATTGACACGTTAACATATAACTATGTCACCTAGCTTATTTCATTTTAAATTGGAGTTGGGTCTGCAAGAGATTTAGACTTGCTTTGGGAGATGAAAACAAGTTTCAAGGTCTTCTTGGTAATCAGGCAGCTCCCTTCTGGCCAAGAACAGGGCATTTTTTTTCCTTAAAAATGCAGACTTTCCTCCAGAAATCTTTATTTCTGTCATGATACGATTAGAATATGATATTAGATACTCTGTCCCTAACACGTATATGATTCACAGAAGTAGAAACTGCCATACTATGCCTGGCCAATTTCCAAAACTAAGGCATTATTCTCCTTCTCTCCTTACACACAAAGGGATACACACACTAATGTAGAGAAGAACCAGTGGCTGGGCAGAGATTGAAAGCACTACAGATGCACCAAACCAAAGTGAAATTTCTTTGCAAGCCTTTCTTGAACACAAATTCCAACTGCCTAATAACAGTCAAGAGCAGTACACATTCTTTCCTGCATCAAACCATTCTGACCAAAAAATACCATGAGAAAGGCATCCATAAAAAAACAGACTAGTTTTGTGCATCCAAAGAGACAGCTCAAAAATGGGACTGCATGAGCAAGTGACGAGAGAAAGCAGGATTCTGCAGGCAGTTCATACATGGCACAATAAATTTATCGTGCTACCTCTTAAGAAGTTTCTGCTACCTCATCTAGTACATTCTGTGAAGCTGATGGAACTTTTGCCATAATACAAGTATTGTGCTTTATTCCAAATATTTTGAATCCCTTTATAGAAGAAAACAATGCTTTAAAGAGTTTTTCTCCAATCTGAGATATACAATGACTTTAATATATGCTAACATCACTGCCTAGATGAGGTACTGCTATGCAAGCCCAAAACAGTCAGCGTAGTCCCAAATTCTAACGTATCCGTACTTTTCTAGAAGCACTAATTCTTCTTCCTTACTGCATACACATTCACAAAGCCACTGTACGTGCTCTCAACCTCCCCCTGCAACAAGCTAACAGAACCCAAGAAGAAGTTTTCCTGTGAAATGCATTTATCAGAGTTTAACCAGTATTTCTTAAGAAAACAGTTATACACAGAATACAGCGTTGCACTAGCAGTGGAAAATGCTGATAAGAGGAAAACCCTCAAAATATATTTTATTTTTTTTAATTTTTTCTGCACTCAGGATGTATTTTGTGTTGTTGGTTATGGGAGAGCATTAGCAGTCACAGGAGTCTTTATGCAGCCATTTGGAAACCCACTGAAAAGATTTTTTTGTAACCGCAGACCATGTCTTTTCTTACAATGTCAAAATTAGTTAAAATTTTGATTGTGGTTGTGTCACAACATATATAAATAATTATAGCAAATTACAGTATTCCCTAGAGGAATTTAATTATAGAAATCTCAAAGAATAGAGTTTATTAAATTAATATGCCAACAGCCTAATTCTTCCACTTAAGGGAACTAGTAAGTAAAAAAAAAATTATCTTAAGTGTATTATGACAATAAACATCCTTCTAAATTAATTTTTACTTTTCCTTAGTCTGATGCATTATGAAGTATTATGTTCTTCAGAATTTTCCACTGCTTTAACAAAGCACAGTGACAAATACTTTGATGAATGTCAAATGCTGATAACAGGTTTTATTTTTAAGACACTAAACCTATTTCTAGAACCTCACGCTATCATTATAAGTCTTCAGTTTGTGCAATTACATTAGCTGCTCAAATCTGTGTATATGCAAAATGTTTTTTTCTAAGAAAAGCGGTAAGCTATCAAAGTCGCCTTCTCCATACATCTCTCTCCAAGCTTTCATACATTGGATAGTCAGCACAAAATTCCGAGACTGAAAAGTTTAAGTCATATACTAGACCAGACTCCATGTCTGTGGTCCCTCTGTCAAGTATTTAATGGGCACAAAACAAAGAGCCATTGTCACAGTGGCTTTCGCATGGAACCAAGCAGTAGCTGTGATTTTTCCCATACTTCTGCGAAGTGGTTATTTCCAGATTTGTTAACTGCAAGAGATTTTATATACCTACTTGTATGAAAAAGGCCTGAAGGGGCAGGAAGCACAGGCAGAGGAAGAATTGTTCTTCAATGCCCCCCAAAATTTTCCCTAAAAAGGCCATGTTGGTAAAGGTAGTACATCATACAAACTGGCCTAGGTACTTCAATTCTACCTATATCCCGTAACAGCACTCTCAATGATTCTTCTCCAAATAT